ATGGGGTCCACTGAGGTCCACAGGATGGGTTTGGGGGGTCCACAGAGGTTCACAGGATAGGTATAGGGTCCACTGAGGTCCACAGGATGGGTATGGAATGCACAATAAATAAACTAAACTAAAGCACGAATGGTTAACAAGTGGAATTAACTGAGAGAAGTCGCGAAAGCAACCTCCGCCCATTACTTCAAGACTAGATACATCAAAGAACAGGAACGTTAGCAAAGTTAACAAAATAAAAGCGCACACAGTACAATTAGTGTAATTTAATTCATTTGTTGTGCATCCCAGTCCAGGGATCCATCCAGGGGAGTCGGTCGGCCGAGCGGACAGCACGCTGGACTTGTGATCCTGTGGTCCTGGGTTCGATCCCAGGCGCCGGCGAGGATCGGGTGTTAGTCAGCTGTCACGGGCTGCTTCCTGGGGGTGGAGGCCTGGTCGAGGACCGGGCCTCGGGGACACTAAAAAGCCCCGAAATCATCTCAAGATAACCTCAAGAAGATCCCATACCAATACTGTAAGTGGTAGTGGAACCACGATAAACATCCCGTGGCTGGTGGCGAACCCCAATAAACATCGTGTAGGTGGTAGTGGCAAAAATTACAGAGGCACCTAATGGGCTCTGAACTCAAGCTTAAAATTCCTTTAGCTAAACAAGTTACAATCTTGATAAGCTAGTTCCATACTTAAATGTATATATCAACAGTTTTTTGTATATATATATATATAGCCAAATGAGTTTAGGATCTGAACCATAAGTCTCAAAGAAAAGAATTAGCATTTTTGGTGAGCCTATTACATGGATTTGTATTTATATACCATGCGCCTCTCTCCCATCCCGTGGGCGGCGGTGGGACGTTTACAATCACGTAATAAACATACTGTAATGTACAATAACATCGGCGGCGTATGCAAGGCTGGCTAACATCAGAACAGCCTTCAGGAACCTGCGTAAGGAATCATTCAGAACCTTGTATACCGCATATGTAAATCCAATCCTGGAGTATGCGGCGCCAGCATGGAGCCCGTACCCTGTCAAGCACAAGACGAAGCTGGAAAAAGTTCAGAGGTATGCCACTAGACTAGTCCCAGAACTAAGTGGTATGAGTTACGAGGAAAGGCTGCGGAAATGCTCCTCACGACACTGGAAGACTGAAGAGTAAGGGGAAACATGATCACTACCTACAAAATTATCAGAGGAATTAACGGAGTAGATAAAGATAAACTGTTTAACACAGGTGATACGCGAACAAGGAGACACAGGTGGAGACTGAGTACCCAAATGAGCCACAGACGTTATATACAAAGAGACGTTAGAAAGAACTTTTTTCAGTGTCAGAGTAATTAACAGATGGAATGCGTTAGGCAGTGATGTGGTGGAGGCTGTCTCCATACACAGTTTCAAACGTAGATTTAATAGAGCTCAATAAGCTCGGGAATCTGTACACCTGTTGATTGATAGTTGATAGGCGGGACCAAAGAGCCAGAGCTCAACCCTCGCAAGCACAACTAGGTGAGTACTAAGGCTAATGTGTTAACATATAAATATATTAGCAGTATCTGCACAGTTTATCAAGCTGGCATCACCCTAACCTCAAGATCCCCGCCGAACACACACCGAAACTACGACGTACGTTAATACAACGTTCGAACAAGTTTTAACACCTAACCAGTTATAACAACCAATATAGCAAGTTGTAACAACGTTCTAATACGTCATAAAACACATTAAGCCAAGATGTAACAACTTTATTACAAGTCATAACAAGCGGAAAATAGACAGTTTCGGTTTGTGTTTCCAGAGGAGATCCTAGACAAAGAATCAAAGTAGGTACAGCATTTGTATATTTTTAAAAAGTCAAATGAACTAAACAACAAGACTATAGTGGGCGGGGCATATAGAGATCAAGCCCTGACTTCCCCGTCACTATAAGATGAGCGTTGTTAGGCAAACACAGAGGGTCCTGTCACAACACGGCCGAGGGGACGGAACGCTGGTGGGAATCCCGCCAGGGAAGATGGCGGGTTTCCCCTTACTCTGGTGACACGTGCAGCCGCTGCCTTCTCTGTCTGTCTGCTTCAGATATATACAGTTTTATGACGCTTGTGCTTCGGCTGCTGTAGTTAATGTTTTGTCATCATAAAATAATAATAAATAAAATAAATAAATAAATGTTTATTTAGGTAAGGTACATACATACAAGAGATTTTACAAAGATTGATCGATTTATAGATAGAGCTAGTACATACAATGCCTAAAGCCACTATTACGCAAAGCGTTTCGGGCAGGAACAATAATGTTAGAATATACACACTTTGTTTTAATATGGAACGGAGTATACCACCTCTGGCTGGAAGAAAGGGACCCTTAGCCTCCGAGGAATGTTACATCTGATTTTTTGAAGAAATTTTCCGGATGAACATCCTCCAAATAGTTCAGTATTTTTAAAGTTTAAATAAGATCCGCCCTGTCATGCCTGGTTTGTAGTGTTGTTAGCCCTGTGGCCCTCAACCGTTCCTGATAAGTGAGTGAACTTAGCTCTGGAATGATTTTTGTTGCCCGGTGTTGCACTTTCTCCAGAGCAGCTATATCCTTCTGAAGATGAGGTCTCCCTGCTTGGATACAGTAATCCAAATATATTCTTTATATAAAAAAAGTTGAAATCTTGGGTTTGGGAAATTTTTACATCTTGGGTTTTGTCCATTATGCCAGTGTTTTTACTCAGCATTTCTCTTGTTAGTGATGTCATGGGCTTCGCTTATGTGAATTTTAGGAGCACCTGATTGAAGATGACAGGTCAAACGCCTTGTGAGCTTGGTCGAGATCACACCTGTGATATTAGATTGAAGGCTACATCCTTCGTGGGGGGCAGGTGTACATATATACCACATTTGACAGTTGTAAAGGGTTCTCAGTTGACTTTGGGTTGTTTTCTATGAGGTCAGGGATCTTTTGTATTTTATAGTATATGATGATGTCTATGTTTTGGTCTGGGGGTTGTGTATTTTACTCCTTCACGGGTTATTCCTTGCATTATTCTTTCCTCTTTCTTATACTTACTGTGCATAGTGGATTTGAAATACAATTTTATTGGAGGTGTTGGGGTTTCTGTTATTGATTCAGGATTGTACCACCAATCCAAGTAAATAAAAAAAAATAAAAAATAAAATGTTTATTCAGGTAAGTTACATACATACAATAGATTTTACATAATTTGATCGATTTATAGATGGAGCTAGTACATACAATGCCTAAAGCCACTATTACGCATAGCGTTTCGGGCAGGAAAAACATTAATGACTAAAAATTAGTCATTAGGGACCCTTAGCCCTAAGTGTCGTCTTATAGTGGTGTTTATCTCGTGGTTACTATAGCCATTGTTCACCAGTACTTGTGGCATTTGGAAGGTCACTGATGTAAATGAGAATGTAATGTAAATGACTATCTCTGTCCGAGTGTTTGAAGGTCAGCCGCTAGTTACACACACAAAACTTCCCAGCAAATATTGTTGGATGTACAATTTAAGTCACTAAACCGTGCAAGTTACATCCATGGTGAGCTTGTTATATATTTACTAATGACCAGCTCCTCTTGTATTCTGTTGGTCCATATACTATGGGTGGGTCCTGTCTCAATCCTCGAGGATCATGAGAAGTAAACATATGGGATACAGTGTACCAGCTGTCTGGTGAACATGTGGGACACAGTGTACCAGCTGTCTGGTGAACATGTGGGACACAGTGTACCAGCTGTCTGGTGAACATGTGGGACACAGTGTACCAGCTGTCTGGTGAACATGTGGGACACAGCCTACCAGCTGTCTGGTGAACATGTGGGACACAGCCTACCAGCTGTCTGGTGAACATGTGGGACACAGTGTACCAGCTGTCTGCTGAACAAGGCGGCCGGCAGATGACCAAAGCAGTTGACTGATGTCAGCGTTTGTTTTTTCCGAGGTCAGTTTGCGTTTCTGCTTCGAAAACTGTTTGTACTTGTTCGACACGAAACATTATTTGTTTACTTGGTATTAAGATGTCTTGATGTATGGTAATGATAACGACATTATCATTATAGGAGCCTAGCGCATGGACGTTTGCCAGGAGTATGCAAATATAAAAAGCTTTATATAATGCGCCTTTTCGCACTCTGAAAAGATACGTGAATTCAGAGACAATTCTATAACCAATGTTCCAACGATGAGTAAATATTTCATTCAAAATGATGTGCTACCAAAAATTTTTGGCCAAATATTCCCAGTTTGCTAACTGTAGGTAATAACTAAGTGATTGTAACCTATCCACCGCTGCCCACTGGATGGGGGGCGGTGTGTAGGACAAACATATCAATTATGACACTAGCTCTCCACATATGTCAGTTGCTTAATTTAGAAACTGTACATGTGATCGATCTCGAACCCATTGATGATGTGACGACTTATACTGAATTTTGTAACTAGCTCATCAAGATTGTAACTTGCTTAGCTAAATGAATTGTTTGGTTCAGTCCCTGAGCCCATTATGTGCCTCTGTAACCCTTTCCACTACCGCCCACAAGATGGGTATGGGGTGCATAATAAATGAACTAAACTAATTAATACGCCTATTGTTCTCTAGTCAAATTATTATATTTATAGAATAATACGAATTAGGATTAATACTTCCATAAGACTCGTTAAATAACGATAAATGCCGCACTCCTTCTAGATAACAATTATATTGCTATCCTACAAACCAATATGCAGTTTTAGACCCCATAGTAACAAACGTTACAAATAACATCGTACATCTGACATAATTGTTGGTCGCCTACGCTCAAGGTCTAGATTTCCCGATATTCAACCATATAAGGCAAGTCGTTGCCCTGGAATTTGAGGCTAAATGTACAAATACTCGTCCATATATATATCATAACTGGCTACCAATTTAATGGCATGATTTCCAGGAAATGTACTTTAAAAGAATTTGAAGTCTATTGGTCAAGTGGGAAGTACGATCGTTTTTGTGAGTGTCTAGGATGCCAGAGAGTGCCAGCTGCCGTCAGGGTCAGGGCGACTGCGCACAACTCATTCGGTCGGCAGCCTCCGCCAGCGACGGACGCCCGCTCCAGGTCTCGGCCAGCTGCTAATACATTGAATCTTGCATTTAGGTAATATAGGTGAGTGTCTAAACATCATGTTAAAAACCAGAGCCTAGCAACTAGGTCAATTAGTAATTAGGACGCTTTTTGCCTGTAATAACCAGGGTTTTATAATGAATTTAAATTATTTGTTAGTATTAATTACAAATATTGTCCATGGGATAATGTGATACTATCGATGGGATAATGTCATACTATCCTTGGGATAATGTCATACTATCCATGGGATAATGCCATACTATTTATGGGATAATGTGACACTATCCACGGGATAATGTGATACTGTCCGTGGGATAATGTCATACTATCCATGGGATAATGCAATACTATTTATGGGATAATGTGACACTATCCACGGGATAATGTGATACTGTCCATGGGATAATGTCATACTATTTATGGGATAATGTCATACTAACCATGGGATAATGTCATACTATCCATGGGATAATGTCATACTATCCATGGGATAATGTCATACTATCCATGGGATAATGTCATACTATCCATGGGATAATGTCGTACTATCCATGGGATAATGTCATACTATCATTGGGATAATGTCATACTATCCATGGGATAATGTCATACTATCCTTGGGATAATGTCATACTATCCTTGGGATAATATCATTCTATCCTTGGGATAATGTGATACTATCCATGGGATAATGTACTATCCTTGGGATAATGTGATACTATCCTTGGGATAATATCATACTATCCTTGGGATAATGTGATACTATTCATGGGATAGTGATATTATCCTTGGGATAATGTGATACTATCCATGGGATAATGTGATACTATCCATGGGATAATGTGATATTATCCATGTGATACTATCCTTGGGATAATGTGATATGATCCATGGGATAATGTGATACTATCCATGGGATAATGTGATACTATCCATGGGATAATGTGATATTATCCATGTGACAATGTGATACTATTCTTGGGATAATGTGATACTATCCATGGGATAATGGGATACTATCATTGGGATAATGTGATACTATCCATGGGATAATGTCATACTATCCATGGGATAAGATATTATCCTTGGGATAATGTCATACTATCCATGGGATAAGATATTATCCTTGGGATAATGTCATACTATCCATGGGATAATGTCATACTATCCATGGGATAATGAGATTATTCTTGGGATAATGGCATACTATCCATGGGATAATGAGATACTATCCATGGGATAATGAGATACTATCCATGGGATAATGATACTTTCCATGGGATAATGAGATACTATCCATGGGATAATGAGATACTATCCATGGGATAATGAGATACTATCCATGGGATAATGAGATACTATCCATGGGATAATGAGATACTATCCATGGGATAATGAGATACTATCCATGGGATAATGAGATACTATCCATGGGATAATGAGATACTATGCATGGGATAATGAGATACTATCCATGGGATAATGAGATACTATCCATGGGATAATGTCATACTATCCATGGGATAATGAGATACTATCCATGGGATAATGTCATACTATCCATGGGATAATATCATACTATCCATGGGATAATGTCATACTATCCATGGGATAATGTCATACTATCCATGGGGAAAATGAGATACCATCCAGTGGAACATTTTACACTGTCTAGGGGATGTGACATTATATCCAGGGAATAATTTGACACCATTCAAGGGATGGTGTGATTCTCCCCAAAAAAATAATAATGTTCATTCTTCAAAGGATGATGTGACAGTCTCCGGGGAATGATGTGATACTCCAAAGGAGGATGAGGGACGAGTGAGAGACGGTCCCGGGGGACGAGTGAGAGACGGTCCCGGGGGACGAGTGAGAGACGGTCCCAGGGGACGAGTGAGAGACGTTCCCGGGGGACGAGTGAGAGGCGGTCCCGGGGGACGAGTGAGAGGCGGTCCCGGGGGACGAGTGAGAGGCGGTCCCGGGGGACGAGTGATTGGCGGTCCCGGGGGACGAGTGATTGGCGGTCCCGGGGGATGAGTGATTGGCGGTCCCGGGGGACGAGTGATTGGCGGTCCCGGGGGACGAGTGAGAGGCGGTCCCGGGGGACGAGTGATTGGCGGTCCCGGGGGACGAGTGATTGGCGGTCCCGGGGGACGAGTGAGAGGCAGTCCCGGGGGACGAGTGAGAGGCGGTCCCGGGGGACGAGTGAGAGGTGGTCCCAGGGGAGGACGGGGGATGAGTGAGAGACAGTCACGGGGGGGGGGGGACGAGTGAGAGACGATCTCGGGGGAGGATGGGTGGGGACAAGTGAGAGATGATCCTGGGGGATGAGTGGGAGGCAGTCCCGTGGGAGGACGGGGGACGAGTGGGAGGCTGTCCTTGGGGAGGACGGGGGACGAGTGTGAGGCAGTCTCGGGGGGAGGACGGGGGACGAGTGGGAGGCGGTCTCGGGGGAGGACGAGGGACGAGTGGGAGGTGGTCCTGGGGGAGGACAAGAACCATCTCTCACTCGTCCCCATCTCACTCTCATCCGGAGAGGATTGTCAGAAAATAATATAGATTTCAGGACCTTAGAGACCATTGGCAAGCCATTGATGTACAGTATATAAGAATCTGAGGTTTGAACTCTGTCCTGAAAAACGAGACCATTAGCATAGTCACTATATAATTGTCGCTGTAGTAATTACTGAATCCTACTTTTACTGTATTATGATTATGAATTCAATATTTAGACATTTGTAATCGGACTTAGCTATTTTAATTAGTTTAATATAGAACTCAAAAATAGGCTATCCATCTTGTGGGCAGTGACAGGAATGTTGTCACATAATGGTTTTAGGAACTTGACCACACTGATCTTTGCAGTTTGCATTTTTGGACTCGGTTGCAGCCTATCTGGATGGTCCATCCTCAGAGTGTAGAAAGCATGGCCATGGGATATGTGGTGTGGCTGTGGACAGCGGTGGTGATTGCGGTTATCCCCTCCGGGCATGCTGCATCACTTAATCTTCCAGGTAAGATATATTTAATCTGCCTGTCCTAGAAAAATCTTTTTCTTGCATCATTCATGAATACTGTATTAGTTATTTGTGCTGTACATTTTGGCATATAATATTTGATTTAATTATCAATAATTTAAGAATTTTTTAACTACACTAAAATAAGTATATTTTGGAGTGACTGCAGTTTGAGATGTTTATTGTCTTTAGTATATCATTTGTGTATATACCATAAGGGTCCATAAGGCATGTGCTTTGAGATACATATACTGTACTTAGATACTTAGGTAATTACATATGTATATGTATCTCAAATGATTAACCTGAATAGTACCCAGGCTACATTTTAAATACTGTACTTGATAATTTTAATTGTACTTCCTGGGCTTTAGAACCTCTGCCCACATGATGCAATGCTGAGTGCTGTGCTGAATTATTAGTATTTCTTGTGCTCTTCACTTGGCAAGGAAATTGAAAAATTATCTCACCAAAGTTCAATGTGCACTTTTAATGGTGGATAACTTTTTTCCTCCTGCAGGACGCTTATGTGTACCACAAAATGTGGACTGTTCGCTCTTGAGTCGGTTATCAGGAGGGGTGCTAACTTGTATAAACGTGAGAGACAGGTAAGTTTTGTACATGGGATAACACCTGTGTTTGTGAGTTGAATACAGTTCAATTGAATATATTTATTTAAATACAAGAAGGTACACTGGGTTTGAGAGTACAGAGACTTGAAGTTTTACATTCTTGTGCAGCCACTAGTATGCATAGCGTTTCAGGCAAGTCCTTAATCCTAATTTTCTCACACACACATCCCCAGGAAGCAGCCCATAGCAGCTGTCTAACTCCCAGGTAATTGTTTACTGCTAGGTGAACAGGTGCATCAAGGTGAAGGAAACTCTGCCCATTTGTTTCTGCCTCTGCCAGGAATCAATCCTGGAACCTTTGGACTATGAACTCTGAGCATTGTCCACTCAGCCGTCAGGCCCCATAATATTGTTTTATTGTTTAATCATTTATTGGTTTAAAATGTGAAATGCTAACGAATGTACAGTATTTATAAAATTAATTGGAAACCCTAAAAATATTGATCTAATAATTTCTCAAAGAAATATATTAGCATTTTCAGCCTCCACAACAAGCATTAAATAAATTGTCATGTTTTAGTAGCAACAGGTGGGGCCTGCATAATCCTCAAAGGATTCCGGGTTGAATAGCTTTTAGCATGTCGTGGCTCGAGGGCATGGGTTGAGTTTGGCATTCAGAGAATGGTGGGGCCTGCATAATCCTCAAAGGATTCCGGGTTGAATAGCTTTTAGCATGTCGTGGCTCGAGGGCATGGGTTGAGTTTGGCATTCAGAGAAACGCTGATTCAATCCCTGCTCTATTCCAATTATTTTTATCATTGATATGTCATGCTTTTGTGAAATTTGCCTGTGTATTTGAAGAGAGAGAAATGGTGGAGAACTCCAAATCTACTCTGGATTGTATGCAAGTTATTCATTAAAACTGTTTGTGGCAAAAGGTGGGGCCCTGCAGTATCCTTATAGGCAATGGCGGCTCGTGGAAAAAGAGAATAGAGGAATTTCATCACTGCAAACTTGATTGGGCTGCACTGAATGCAGCGCAATGATGCCAGATGAAGCGCTGAAAAATCCTACACTATCGTAAAGCATGAAACCTCTATTTTCATACAGTTATAATTACAATTTTCAAATTTGAGTAATATTTATATTGAAAATAATTTATGAAGACTGTCATGACAAATTTGTTACTTATTATTCTAGTGTGAGGTTGGAGTCTTGTACCTGGCAGTGAGTGTCTGTGAGAACTGCAGCTCCTGTGGGCAAGCTGCCACTTTTTAAAGAATATAGTAGTGTCTTGGGTTGCATAGCCTTTAGCATGTTATGGCTCAGGGCCATGGCACGCATCTGGCATTTATCAAGATGCTGGTTCAAGTTAATTCCCAATTAACTCCCAATTTCACCTGCAGTAACCTTCAGTGTTACAGTGATTGACAATACAACCATTGTCAACCTTAGAAAACTGCAGTGCAGCCCCTTAGTTATTTAGTGTCACTCCTCCTCAATCTTCAAAGGCATCCAAAAGTAACTGTGTGTTACCCCCCCCCCCTCCTCCATAAAATTCCAAGTTGGAAAATCTTGTAATCCTTATTATCACTCCTAGGAATGCTTAATTTCACCTTTATTAACTTATGTCAAACCCCAGTATCCCCCACTCCTAACTTCCAGTATCTTTCTAGGGTGGATTGCTTAAAAAAAATGAGGGACCATCAGGCTGATTTTGGCTATTTTGAAGCTGAAGATCTCAATATGGCAGCAGACTCATTTGGTGACAAATTTGAAACATTACTTCAGATTGGTGAGTGTGCGCTTGTGAGAGATAACGCTTATTAACCTCTAAAATTCTTTACCAGCCACATGTCTAGTATTGAACAACCTATACCATATTTATATATTGGTGAACACCAATCACCAACTGACAGTTATTATGGGTGGATTGCTCAACACTCGGACTTTGGCCAAGCCACTGGCTTCCTATCCCCATTGAGGCCACTAGAAAGATGATGGCTCTCAGGTAAATTTTGGTATATAATTCATAGTACAGTATTGGTAACTACCAAGCTGGATATACAGTAGTACTGTACCTGACATTCTCAGTCCCAAAAATAGTCATTGTTGGATTATCATTGAGCATAAGCTTCAAATTAACAAGTTGACCAGATTTCCCACTCCCTTCTTGACAAAAAATTTCAGGCAACCAAAGTGAACTAGCTGTATACATAATTTCTGCTTGCCTGAATTTCATGTCCTGGCAAATGCTCTACTTGTTAAGTATTGTATTTAATATTAATACCATAATAATATTTTACTTTGTAAAAATTACAGATTATTTAAATAATGATTTCACAGTAAGTATTTGTATTTTATATAAATCCACCGATCACAGCAGCAGCTCTTGAGTTCAAATAGTGGTAGACGATTGGAACAAATTAAGTGAGGTGGTGGAAACACAAACCGTCGGTAGTTTCAAAGCGTTTTATTTACCTGAATTTGTCTGCGAGCCACTAATACTAGAAACCTCAACGAGGACAGGAAGCCAGTGGCTTGTCAAAGGTCCCCCCCCCCCATTTGCCCCATTTACACTTATGAATGGCTCAGAAGCTTTAAAGTCTGCCATGGCATTAGATACATTAGAGTACATAGTAAAAGGCAGTCTGCTGAGGTTACCTCATCACCATTAATCTCCACTTCAGTCAACCCAACACTATCATCATTCACCACCACCTTTTCTATCTAAATACTATAATTTGAAGATTATAGTTGTATTTTAAAACCAGCTGTATTTTAAAACCCAGCAGAGTTGTTCCGTTTACGGCTTCGGCGAGTAGACAGTTCCATGGGTTTACAAACCTATGGGTGAAAAAGCATCTCATGTTTTCTGTTCTACATTGTGGCTTGTTGAGGTTGAACTTGTTGCGCCTCATTCGTGTTACATCTGACTTTTTGAAGAAATTGTCTGGATTGACATCCTCCAAATTCTTCAATATTTTAAAGGTTTCAATCAAATCTGCCCTGCCATGCCTGGTTTGCATGTTGTTAGCCCTGTGGCCCTCAACCATTCCTGATACGAGAGATGACTAAGCACTGGGATGAATTTTGTTGCTTGGTGTTGCACCTTCTCCAGAGCAGCTGTGTCTTCTGAAGATGAGGTCTCCATGCCTGGATGCAATAATCAAGGTGGGGGGGTGCACCAGAGACTGGTACAATTGAATGACTACTTTATTTTCCTTGAAGGTAAAGGTACGCTTGATTATTCTCAGGGTTTAGTTCGTTTTTATTTTACTGTCGATCCCACTAATTGTGCAAATGCAAACGATGAGTCACAATAACGTGGCTAAAATATGTTGACCAGACCACACACTAGAAAGTGAAGGGACAACGACATTTTTGTCTGTCCTGGACCATTCTCAAGTCGATTGTGACTTGAGAATATGAAAATGTCAATTGTGACACAATTGACTTGAGAATGGTCCAGGACGGACCGAAACATCGTCGTCACTTCACTTTCTAGTGTGTGGTCTGGTCAACTTATTGTGCAACTTTTAGTGAATGATGAATTCTGACTACAAGGTCCTTTCTTCATCTATCTGTTGTAAAGTAGTGCTGTCAATTTGGTAGTTGTGATGTGGATTGTTATGCCCCACATGCAAGGTCTTGCATTTATCGACATTAAAAAGCATTTGCCAGTCATCTGACCATTTGTGGAGTTCATGTAAATCTCTTTGTAAGGTCTCAATATCACTTTCACTTCCCACTTTACCATAGATCTTAGTATCATCTGCAAATTTGATGTGGTTTGTAGTATTCTCATCTATGTCATTGAGGTATTGTATATGACAAAAAGTGTTGACCCCAAAATGAACCCCTGTGGCACCCCCACTTAGCACATTCTTCTTAGCACTTAGCACATTCTTAGCACTTCCCAGCACAAAGAGTGCTGGGAAGATGGAACATGACTAGTATAGCTCTCATCCTGTAACTACACTTGGGTAATAACACTTAGTAAAAACATGACGATAAGTGTTACTTAATAAAAACATGGGAAGATGAATGTTTTCATCTACCTCCATCTTTTACTTCAGTGACGGGCAAAGAAGTAAGAAGCGTTTACCTCCTAGTGCATAATTCCACAAATCTGAATATCAAGAGTGTTTGTCACCCAGGAGTCAACCTCCAGCGATACTACCCCCGCGCTTTGTACCGCCCTGTCACCAGTACCTCCGATGAATTCGTAACAGATAAGGTTAGTAAAGCAGACTTTTTTTTTTTACCGGAATCATCCAAAAATGGACAAAATTCAAATTTGTTTCGGTTTTTCATTCAAAGTTTCAGGTTACCAGAATCTGAGTTACCAAGCTCTTACAGTATTCATTCGTTACTCCCTATTGCCTATTTTTAGAATACATATTGTTGAGTGCTACTGGTTATCCTAGAAAGATTATTATACTCTTATCCTAATATCTTAGGCATTTGTTACCCAAAACACTGTGCTTAATTAACAGCTCTATAAAATATACACGTACTGTACTTACTAAGTAACCACTGTAATCTGATAATCTGTATTTTTATAAATGCATTATTATTATTATTATTTATTATTACTATTATTATTATTATTACCTACCTTGTTCAAAATATTTGAAAACCCAATGAACAAACAGCTTTACTCCTACCTCGCTAAACATAGTTTACAGTTCATGCAGTTCTTGACAAAAATGTGTACCCCAAAGATCTATTTATTGAAGGCATAAGGCTTTTGACATCATAACCCACACTAACAAACTTTTCAAATTGCACCACTATGGAGTCAGGCGTCGCATCCTTCAATACAGTACTTTCAATCTTACCACAGTGCCATGCATCAATTTGTATCTGCGAACAATGCTACTTTTTCCACCCAGCCAATTCACATTGGAGTTCCACAGGGTAGCATACTTGGTCCTCTCCTGTTTCTCATTTACAGGAGAAAATTATTTGGTTGATCAGTGATCAACGATCAACTAAATGCCATCAACACCTGAAGCCAGTTCTATTTTCTGATGACACAACATTCATTTTCTCAAATATTAACCCACTTATTCTAACTGACATAGTGAATGCTGAACTGAAAATACAGTAGTCCATTTATTGGTGACTACTAACAGACTCGCCTTTACATTTAAAAAAAAATCTATTATGTATATTGTTTGGAAAAAAATTCACGAATCAAAATACAGTAAACTGTGAATTAATAGTACAGTACCTAAATTGAGAGCAGAGTAGATTAAAAATTCCTTGGTGTTCACATTGACAACTTACTGAATAATTTATAATTATTATTATTATTATTATTATTATTATTATTATTATTATTATTATTATTATTATTATTATTATTATCATTATTATTATTATTATCTTTCAGAGCCAGGTGGATGCATTGAGCACATCCTGGAGTAAAGCTTGCATTCCTGGATCCTGGTCACAGGACCCCATTACAGATAGGCAGCTCAGTGAGTAGACTTATCTTTTTTAAATTTGCCTGTTGGGTCTTGGTAGAGGTATATTTATTGAAGTGATGATGATAATGTTTATAATCATTTTATGTTTTCCAAGTTACTTGTTAGGTGAGGTTATATAATAATAACAATAATAATTCATGGTATCGGGGGATAGGAAGCCAGTGTGTATTCATACACGTTATGCTTTTATCGAGCCCCCCCCCCTCCCAAGGTCGAATTACTGATCCCTCCCAGGATGCAACCCCACAACATGCTGACTAACCCCTGAGTACCTACTTTCTGCTAGGTGAACATGTGCATTAGGTGAAAGAAAATGTGACCAACCATTTCTGTCCCAGCTGGAATACGAACCTGGAATTCTCGATTGTGCATCAAGAACTAACCAGACTGTACTACCAGGACCCTAATTTTGTTTGTTTATTCAAACCATGTTTGTTACAAGATTGAGGTTAGGCTGATTATCTGTAGTTTTCTGCTGAACTACTACTGCCATTCTTGAAGAAAAGGGTGACTTATACTATACTATACAAATAATTAAATATATCCTAACTTTCCCTACTAAACCCTGTCAGAACAAGATAAACCTCACCTGTGTGAAGCCTGTGTTCGTAAGAATTGTGATGCTAAGGATCCTTATGCTGGATCAGGAGCCATCCAATGTCTTCTTGACCATGCCGCCGATGCTGCTTTTGTCTCTGATGTGGACTTTCGTAAGGCTAGGCTCCAGGTAATAAGTCATCAGTGCATTTCTCATTATTCTCATTTGTTATCTGTGGAAATTTATTTATGGAGGCAAACCTATTGGGATCAGCTGTACAGCATTTTACTTTGTACTAATAAAGTAATACACAAGTATAGTAACAATTAATACAGTTTAAAGTCTTTAATGTTAAATGAACCTTGAAATTTGAGGATGAAAATTATAATGTTGTATGAACACATTACATTCACCAACATACTAAAATATTTACTATTAAAATATAAATTAAGACAAAACAATTTAAAAAATTTGTTTTGCATTGTGTACTGTACCATCAAACATTGTTAAAGCTCGAGTTGTTACTCCCAGGAGGCAAGTCGAGTATAATTAAAATATTTATCATATATAGTAATCAACAGTTTTCCTTTTCAGAATCCTGAAGTGGAAAAACTGTCACATTTCTGTTACACGGGCAATGCCACTTGGCATACAAAGACAATCTTGCCACTTGGAGACAGAGCGTCTGGTGATGGAGAACCTTGTGACCGGGGTAAGAGGCCATTACCAGTTCTCCTGTCTCCTTCCTGTGAAGACATCCAGTGTATGTAAGTACTTGGAGGAAAGTGTGGAATCCTTTGAAAGGGTGGGGAAGAAAGGCATGGTTGTGATAAAGATTTCATTAAAGATAGAGAAATCATAATAGTGAAGAAAATGTAAAAAAAAATGTTTTAAGAAGGGATAATGAAAAAGGCAGTATTATAAAGGAGAGACGAATAGTGTTAATGGAAAATAAAGATGGTTAATATCAGGAAATAATATTACTGGGTATTATTGAAATAATAATAATGTTATTTATTATTATTATTATAATATTAAATATTATAATAATACAATATTTTCTCATTGATGTGGTCATTAGTGTAATTACTGTGTAATATTATTATTATTATTATTATTAAGAATAAGATATTATTCTTAATAATATAGGCATTAAGAGTAAATGGTAAAGAGCATTGATATCAGGAACATTAAAAACAACTGGGCATAGTAGAACTGACTTCACCTGAACTAGCAAGTTTGAACTCTAATTATTTCCAGAAATATGCTCTATAACAAATTTCTTATGAAATAGTCTTTGACTTTCTGAAGAATTCTTCCTCCTCAGTATATAAAATTATTACAATTACAGGTATATATTTTTCACTGACAATTTTTTTTAAATTTGTGCGATTTATAATTTTATATTTTCCAGAAATGACTATTAGCAACTACCAATATATAATTTTCCCATGAAATTATAGCTTTTGTTATACAGTACTGTATAATAATATATATGTTTTGGATACTTTAGCTACTTAAAATAATTTTCTAGGAACCATTTGAAAACCGATATTTATTTTAAGTATTTTAACATTATTCCCGATGGACAACAATTACAGAAGCCGCAGAAACATTTGGGTGAAGGCGCTGAGCACACAGGCTAAAACTGTGATAGAGGTTTTGGGTCTACCTCAAGGCACTCAGTTCAAAACTGTGAGGGAAAAAATATCACCATCTAGAGCCATCAAGATGGGTAAGAACACACTTTTTACTCAAATTACCTGAGGGCCACCATCTTCCTAGTGGCCTCATCAGATATAGGAAGTCGATGGCTGGTCAAAGATCCAATCATTGTTCCTGATGAATTTTTCTCTCTGGATTTTAAAATGAAGTAATGACTTGGCATTTATGGCTTTGGTGGTTAGGCAATCTTTGAGTATATGACCCTATGCATTAAAAAGCATCTGTTTTCAGATATACATTGTGACTTGTTGAGCTTGAAGCATTGCCCCTTGTTAGCATTACATTTGACATTTTAAAGAAGTGGTCCGGATGTTAATCCAAACTACTACTTTAAAATCTTTAAATATAACACATACAAGGGGCAACAGCTTCAAGCTCAACAAGCCATAATGTAAGCCAGAAGACGGGAATGTTCTTTTCGCCCATAGGTTTATGGAACTGCCTACCTGCCAAAGCCGTGAATACCAAGACTTATGTCTTAGTTCAAAATTCAGTTAGAAAAATCATTTTTCATCTCTCTAACAATTTTGTCTACTTTATGAATTCAAAAGAATTGTATACTCTACTACTGTACTAACACTGAAATTTAAATACCATAATAGTTATATATAAAAATACTACAAATGGTTTGATTCAAATTTTTACAAAAGTAGGCATTTATATTTTTATCAAACCAGTAATCATACAAAGCATTTTGGGTACACTTTAGAGTAATACTGTAATTAATTCTTTGAGATGCAAGTTAACATATAGAATGTACAAAATGTAAAATTATGGTCACTAGACAATGTCACAAAAAATAATCTCATCCATGCACAGTATATAAAGATCTAAAACATATACAATGATCCAAATGTAACTTTTTTGTGGCTTCTAAATGTTTAAAAGGGGCCAAATAATCTACAGTACTGATATATATATATACAATGTGTAAATAAAAGCTTGCAGAAGTAAAGAGGTATTTTAAGAAAAAAGAGATGCATTTTACCTGAGACAGAGCTCTCAGATCACTGTTTAAATCACTTCTTTTTGAGTTGTATTTAGTCATGTGAAAGACAGATTTTGCATCTTCATTACATAAATATCTTTCATGGCAAATAGGGGGACCTTCGACAAGCCACCGGTTTCCTGTCCTTGTCGAGGCCACTAGTGTTAGAGGCCCTCAGGTAAATAAGAAGACAATGATAAAGTATTCAGCACGCTTTTATATATTGATTGGTGGGATTTGTGGGGGGGACGGAGGAGTGGGGGATGAGGGGATGGGGGAGGGGGGAATGGTGGGGAGGACGAGGGGATGGCGGAGTGGGGAATGGTTGGGAGGACGAGCGGGAGGGGGAGGACAGGGGGGCACAGGGGAGGGTTGCTGTGGCTTGGCAATACATACTTGCTGAGCCACAGCAACACGTGGCCGGGTACAGCTAGTTGGAAATATAATATAGTTGATACTTTTACCGCTATCATGCCTGCTCATTGTGTTTTGTGCTTCTCCCCCCCCAGCTGGGTACAAGCTTAATCTGACACAACCAAAGAATCCAGTTCGTTTCTGCGTGCATAATGAAGCCGAGCGTGAAAAGTGTGAGGACCTGAAGATGGCAGCAAGAGCATATGGTGTTGATGCAGGTGTGGGAGTGGACTGCTTCCTGGACCCCACAGAGCACCATTGTTACCCTGACATATACTTCGGTAATGCTGATGTTATATCACTAGATGGTGGAGATGTCCACCAAGTAACACAGTAAGTAATCTTGAATTAGTATTTTACTTTTATTGACTACAAGTGTATGTTGTTAATTCTACAACATATTTGGGCATTACTTAATATGTATTAAGTATTTCCAAGCAGTGGCTTGTTTGTATTGACTCTACTCACTTATTTTGACCCTGAACTAAATCTGCTGACACAAATCTATAATAACCAGCATATTGATCATTACTACTGCAGATATTACACAGCAAACCTTGCAAAAAACAAACTCCAAAATAACACTTGTCTATCAGTTTTCAACCAAAATGTCAGATCACTTAATAAAAATTTTGATGATATAAATGCACTACTCACAGCACTAGGTACTAAACTATCATTCATTATTTTTACAGAAACATGGCTAAGTCAAGACCATACCCAACTTTACAACTTAGCCAGTTAGACAGCATTCACAACCGTAGGCCGAATAAAATAGGTGGCACAGCTATCTATTACCAAAATACCTTCATTTACAGTAGTGTCATTAGTGATACCAGAGATGATTACTGTGAATATACCTTTGCTCAATTCTCATTTAAATACCTTTGACCAATTCTTGATTAAATCCCTTAAATCCCCCTTGACTATTGGAGCTATCTATAGATTTCCCAATACTAATATAACTACATTCTCAGATAACCTAAGGAATCTTATCATAAATAAGAAGCTCAACAAAAGTCATATTCTAGGAGGTGACTTCAGTATTGACCTGTGTCAACAAAATAATCCTCAAGTTGATTATTTCCTAAACAGCATGAACTGTATGCTAATTGCCACAATCACCAAGCCCACCCAAATCACTCAAACATCCTCTACTACATTGGATCACTTATGGACTAACATAACAGCTTCCCTTACATCTGGTATAATCGCTGACAGAACTGACCACTATCCTACCTTCCTCATAGCAAACATGGACATAGCACTACCAGACACAAAGAAACTTACCTTCAGACTACACAGTGAAGTAGTAATAGGCAATCTCACAAATGCACTTCACAACATTAACTGGGACTCTGAATTCAGTAATGCAAAGGATATAAATTCATTAGCCAACATCTTCCTTTCCAAAACTCTAAGCCTCTATGACACTCACTGTCCTCTCCTCACCAAGCAAGTGAGGAGAGGACACTGCCTAAAGATTAAACAACCCCTGGCTCACAAGTGGCATACTCAAAGCAATCAACAAAAAACGTGAATATGAAAAAAACTTAGGTTTAACCTAGTTACAAAAGTAGTAGTTGAGATACTTATCATATTTCACCAGTATGATAAGACGAGTGAAACTTTTTTTTTTTTTTTTTTTTTTTTTTTTTTTTGAGATATATATAATTCTTCCCATGCAGCAGCATGGGAAGAATTGTAAGCTTTTGCTGAAACGACTTGCCCAAATCAAGTTGCAGTAGGCCATTGCCTTAACCTTTTCAATGACACTGTGATACACTGTGATACATTTTCTATTACAGTGGCACCTCGACTTACGATTGCCCCGACTTATGATAAATTCGAGTTACAATATAAATTTGATTGGAAAATGCGACTCGACTTACGATAGTGTCGTCGACTAACGATATTTGTTGATACTTGTTCGGGTCGACCGAGTGCGTGGTTCCCGGTTAGTGCTTAGTGACGATCATGCTTATAAAAAATTAAATTTTTTGGGCGATTTTTTGTTTTTTGGACATAAAACTGATTATTATACAGTATATCATGTTATGGGTCCAAAGAAAATCAGTGGTAAGGTTCAACATATGAAAACACATGTGAGGATGACCATAGAGGCAGTACAGAATATCCCATCCTCAAAAATTAAGAAAATGTGTGCAGCATGGGAAGAATTGTAAGCTTTTGCTGAAACGACTTGCCCAAATCAAGTTGCAGTAGGCCATTGCCTTAACCTTTTCAATGACACTGTGATACATTACTACAGACAAATATTAAAACGAAGGGAAAAACAAGTGTCGCTAGACAAATTTTTAGTGAGACAAACTAGCAGTGAACCACAACCAGGTCCTAGTGGTATGCAGGCAAAACGTAGGAGAGAGTGTAACCCAGAGAAATCATCACTGCCTGATGTTATAATGGAAGGGAGACTCCTCTTCCAAACAGTAACACCTCTCCTCCTCCCCCCTCCTCACCATCTTCCATATGCCAACAGGAGTCATCAGTGAAGGTAAATAATAACTTGTACATACTTTTGTAGTGAAGATTTGGGTGAATTAGGTATAAAACTTACTTTGAAGTTAATTTTTTGGGGAGTCAGGAACGGATTAATTCATTTCAACTGTTGGGGGGTTGCAGCCTGGCAACTGTTGGGGGGGGTTGCGGCCTGGCAACTGTTGGGGGGGGGGTTGCAGCCTGGCAACTGTTGGGGGGGGGGGGTTGCAGCCTGGCAGCTGTTGGGGGGGGGTTGCAGCCTGGCAACTGTTGGGGGGTTGCGGCCTGGCAACTGTTGGGGGTTGCATCCTTAGAAAGGTCAGTAGTTGGCCTAAGAGGAACCTCAATAAGCCTAACAGGTTTCTTGTCCTTGAAAATAAAAGACCAAAGCCATTTATTTTGTTTTCTCTCTTCCTTCTCATCATCTCGCATACCATAAATTTTTATATTTGTCCTCCATCTTTACAGAAGTTAATTCCTTCTTTATTCTTTCAGAGATTTTGGTTTTGAGCGAGTGCTAAGTGAAGTGTATGATACGGGTGCTGTATCACCAACTTCCTCATATTATGCTGTTGCAGTTGTGAGAGCAGATTCCAACATCACAGCATTTAGTCAGCTGCAGGGTCGCAAATCATGCCACACAGGGATTGGCAAAACGGCAGGTTTGTGTTGACTTGGAGAGATACAGTACAGTATATGAATTATCCAATAAAATGCTATAAAAGACTGAAATAAATAAGAGGTTGTGGAGGAATGGGAAGATTTAAAATGGTTATAGAGAAAATACTGTGATACAAAAAGGAACGTTTTTATTAGTTGTTTCCTCTGTTTTTTACAGGATGGAAGCTACCATTAGCTACTCTTCTGCACTTAGGATTGATTGATCCACTGCATTGTAACTATGTTAGTGCTGCTGCAGAGTTCTTCAGTGGTGGCTCCTGTGCTCCTGGTGCTAAACATCCTTCATATAACAAACAGAACAACTATGTGGACCGCCTGTGTAGCCTTTGTATTGGGGCAGGGGAGAATCAATGTGCCAGGACCAGTGATGAACCCTTTTACTCCTACTCTGGTGCATTCAGATGTCTGGTGCAGGGTGGAGGTGATGTGGCCTTTGTCAAGCACTCCACTGTCCCAGACAATACTGGTAAGTTATCATTTATGGCATGAAATTTATAAATGCACTAATGAGTGAAAATGTGATAACACAGAAAATAGTGCAGGTATTTATTGGATAGCACTGGCTTGGAAACAAGGTTAAAGCAGCATCACACGAGAATTCAAGGACCATATTTATGGTAATATTAAAGTAATGTATTGTATATTAATAATTATTAATTATTATTATTATTATTATTATTATTATTATTATTATTATTATTATTATTGCATTAGTGGTAAAGAACCTAGAAGGCTAAATTATATACCTGTACTTATTAACCTGAGGGGCACTAATACTAGTTTGTGGAGCATAAGGCCACAAAAGGATAGAGGACTGTATCATGGAGCATCACACTCTGGCAGCCACTCACCAAGCCCCCTCACGGCATCAACGGGCTGGACAGCGAGGGGGATAATGCTTTGAAACTACTGTACTGATGGTTTTGACCACCACCACCACCTCCAACCATCTGTTCCAACCGCCTACCACTCTGTTTGCAAAAGAAAATTTTCTAATGCTTTTGCGGCACCTTTGTTTCCTTAGGTTGAGTCGGTGTCCTCTTGTTCTTGAAGTTCCAGGTCTCGGGAATTCTTCCCTATAAATTTTATCGAGTCCTGTTACTATTTTGTAAATACTGTAGTGATCATATTGCTTCTTTTTCTTCTATCTTCTAGTTTGGCATATTTAACACCTCTAACCTCTCCTCATGGCTCTTGTCCTTCAGTTCTGGGAGCCACTTAGTCGCATGTCTTTGCACCTTTTCCAGTTTGGTGATAAGCATCTTAAGATATGGACACCATACAACTGCTGCATATTCTAGCTTTGGCCTAACAAAGGATGTGCTCCTTCCGGGTCAGCAACAGAACCATTTAAGCCTGCTCCTCCTGCCGGGGCTTCTGGTCTTGCTAGCAGATCCTCCCTTGTTCTCAGGCTTTTCCCTGGACTCTGCATTTTCTGTGGGAGTGGAGGGTGTGGTGGATGGCTCTGCCCCGGGGCCTCTGCAGAGGGGTTCCCAGGGCTGTCGGGAAAGCCCACTTGCAGTTCTGGAGCTGTTTGCCCCTGCTTGGGTTTTGTGCTTTCTGGGTGAGGTTTTTTGTCCCTCCTCGCATATGTTTTGGCTTTTTTTTCCCCCCATTTGCAGGCGTGTTTCGGCTCCCTTGCCTGTTTGTTTTGGCTCGTCTCTTTTGTTTTTACCTGGGAGTAAGCGCTCGCATTTTGGGGTCATTTTTTTGCCTCCCTCTGGAGTTTCTTCTCCTCCAGTGGCCGTGTCTGTTTCCTTTCTTTTGCCCATTTTGTTCCTCTGGGAACGTTTGGGTGTTGGGTTTTTTGCACGCTACTGTGGTTTTCAGTCTGTTTTTCCTGAGCTCTTTTTTCCTGTTGGCATTAGCCTCTGGGGGGGGTCAGGTTGGGGAGCTTCATGCTCTCCTCCAGTGGAGAGGTTTCTGCTCTTTGTCCCGGTAGTGGATTTGTTCGGTTGCAGACATGTCCTTCTTTTCTGGTGAAGAACAGAGTTGGCGGCTTTCCGTAGGGGCCCTTGGGTTGTTGATGCTTTGTTGGTCAGGCTGGGGTGCATCATGTGTTATGTCCGGTTGCGGCTCTTTGCTGTTCCTTGCACTCCACGGCCTCTGTGCGCTTTGGGTTGACCCACTCTTCCTTGTTCCTTGTTCCAGGGCTTGGGTCTCCCAGGTTGTCCACAGGGTTATTCAGTTCCGCCAGCCTGCAGTCTGTCCTCGTGCCCATGACGTTCGTAAGTTTGCTACTTTGGCTGCTGTATTTGGTAACCTGTCTTGGGCTGACATTCGGGCACGGGGATTTTGGGAGGTCAAACATGGTACTGGCTGCCTCCTTACCTGATCACCGTTCCAGGCCCTAGTAGGGCTTGTCGCTGTAGGTTATTGGCTGCTGCCAGTTATCTCGATTTGAAGTTGAGCTGTAAGTGGTGGCCGCTTCCCAGGTAAGTCCCTCTTTTTCCTTATCTTTGGTTAGGTAGCTTCGGGGAGCCGTAGTGGCTCCCCACAGAAAACTAGCGTTGAATGTAATGAAATGCCATTTTCTGGGTGAGCCCCAGAGGCTCCCCGGCACCCTCCCTCCCTATGGTCGGCAGTGTTTCATGTTTCTTGATGCTCAGCCTCTGAACTGCTAGCTGGAGTGACCGGTGCAGGAAAGGATGGGGGGGGGGGCTGCGCAGACGATCAACGCGACGGTGTTAGTAATGTTTGCCTGTTGGCTTGTTTTAGTTTGGGAGTTCTGCCTCCCTCTTCGGCTTTTAGGTAGCAATTTTTACCATGTGGGGTTTGTTTTGTTACTCCTACCTTTCTGGGTGCCCACACCGGTCGATGGCAAACATGGAATGCTTCCAAACACATGGGGGTTTCCATAGGCCATTGCTTCCCTAGCCTCTTTGAGGGGGCCATGTTCTGGGTCGTGGTCCCAGGTAGGCAAAACAACTCCAATCAAATGATGCCATGATCTAATATATATCAGCCTGGTAAGCTCCGGGAAGCCTTCAGGGCTCACCTAGAAAATGGTGTTTCATTACATCAACGTTGTTGTTTTTTAGATACCCTTGACAGAAGGAACAATTAACACATAATATGGTTCTAAGTACTGTATATACATTTGTTACAATGGTTACAGTAGTGGGTGTTGTATGGTACGACAGTATTGTGACAGGGCGAGCTTTAAGGTGAGGATGCAAAGTGCAGTTATGGTTGGTTGCTGTGGCTAAGTCCATATGGTGGGACAGTGAGGACCGAGGCTGGTGGCTTATCTAAATCCGTTTGGTGAGATAATAGGGACTGAGGCTGGTCACTTCTGATGGCTGTTTTTATAAAATTAGCTTGTCATTCAGGAATTGGAGAGCAATCAGTGTACTAGCATATACGAGTTCATACAGTTCAAGAAATTGTTGAATAGTCATCTTGTTGACTGAGTACAGTACTGAAGTCATTACCCATAATTATGTGACTTTTGAATTTCTTCTTCCTAATAAAGCTTCCCTAATTAAAATAGTATTTGGATTTTTGTTATCAACTCATTGCTGTCAATGTCTCATCACACTATTACAGGTATTAAGTAATGGTAATACCTTCTCATAGACGTAATAACATAGAATAAAAACCCACACTTATGTATTTGTGAATTTTATGAAAGATTTACACAGTCTTTTACACTTTCCTGAGAACCCTACATTCACACCTTGACAAAGCACTCGGGAGAATGCAAAAGACTTGGTGTAAATCTTTACATAAAATTCACAAATACATGTGTGTGGGTTTTTATCTTATATTACAGGTATTGCTAATTTTTTGATAATTTATCTCAATTATTTGTCCCGTGTCTTTACAGATGGTTCCTCTTCAGCAGACTGGACAATAGGGCTGCAGTCTGATAGGTATAAACTGCTGTGTCCTTCTGGTGGCACTGCAGCCATCAGTGAATTTAGAACATGCAACCTTGCTTTAGTTCCTGCCCATGAGGTAAATTGTCTTCATACATGTATACCTTTCAGAAAGTGTGTGACATGCATGAATGGCATCAATATGTCAGCTGAATATTTGGAGATTTTGAACTTTATATATTTTTTATCTTGTATATTTTACAAGAGGGTATTACTTATATTTTGAACATCATTAGTAAAATGAAATAATTGCAAATAATTTTATTTTCATTTGTATGCATGTAATAATTACCTAAGTGTAGTTAAAGGATGAGAGCTATGCTCGTAGTGTCCCATCTTCCCATCACTGTCATCCAATGCTTTGAAACTACTGACAGTTTTGGCCTCCACCACCTTCTCACTTAACTTGTTCCAACTGTCCAGTACTCTGTTTGCGAAAGTTAATTTTCTTATATTTCATTAGCAGCTTTCTTTAGTTAGTTTAAATCTATGACCTCTTGTTCTTGAAGTTCTGGGTCTCAAGAATTCTTCCCTATCAGTTTCGTTGATTCCTGTTACTGTTTTTTATGTATAGAGATATCACAGTGCAGCTAGCTACAGGGAGCCACTCCTGCCCATCCAGAAAGAGGCATTTCACTACATTCATTGCATTTTTTATTTTGTATTGGAGGCTATAACATTTTAACCGTGAGTCCTGAACATTAGGTTGCATTGCCTTCTCAGGTAGTTATGTCGGGTCGGTCATCACCGGAGCGATTTAGTCAGGTGCGGCAAGTGTTACTTGGAATATCAGAAGTGTTTAAAGGAAGTTCTCCAGGAAGTAAGACATTCCAGTAAGTAAGGAAGTTTATTGTTGTATCTAAGTTTAACTTAACTAACTTAGGTTCAAATAGCAGTTAATAGAGGCTTTTTATATTTTACATTATTATTTTAGACTTAAAAATCAGTTAGTTTTATGTCTTCATTATCTTTGACTTTGCTTATATTTTGTTGTTTTCATTTACTTGACATGCTTATTTTATAGACGTAATTTATTTTGTGGGGAGCCCCTCCGGCTCCCTGGAGTTATCAGGCTGATATGTGTTACATTAGTCTGGGGCAGCAGTCAATTGAAGTTCAGCCTACCGGGGACCATGAGCCAGAACCTGGCCCCTATAAGAGAGGCAAAGGAAGCAATGACCTATGGAAACCCCCCATGTATTTTGAGGCATTCATGTCTGCCATCGACCAGGGTTGGCACCCAAAAAGGTAGGCATAACAAAACAGATCCCATATGGTAAGAAAATTGCAACTGAAGACCGAACAGAGGCAGAACTTCCCCTACTTAAAGAATCGAGCAAATGCCACACGCCTCTACCGCCACACTCAACCCTTTTTCTGGATGAGCCCTGGAGGCTCCCTGGCACCCTCCCTCCGGTCGGCAGTTTTTTGCGTGGGTTTTGATACTCAGCCTCCAAACTGGAGTTGTTGGGTAGCCGGCACAGGGGGTCCGGAGCTCCCTCCTCCCCATCCTGGGGAGGGAAGGGCTGCACAGAAAAGGGGCATGGCGGCGAATTGTGGCATTTGCTTGTTTCTTTAAGTAGGGGAGTTCTACCTCTCTGTTCGGTCTTTGCTTGAAATTTTCTTACCATGTTGGGTTTGTTTTGTTAAGCCTACTTTTCTGGGTGCAAACCCCGGTCGATGGCAGATAAGGAATGCCTCCAAATACATGGGGGTTTCTATAGCCCATTGCTCCCTTTGCCTCTCTGATGGGGGCCAGGTTCTGGCTCATGGTCCCCAGTTGGCTGAACTCATATTGACTGATGCCCCAGACTAATATAACACATATTGGCCCAATAGCTCCAGAGAGCCTCCAGGGCTCACCCAGAAAAAGGACATTTCATTGCATTCAGTGCTGGCTTTTTATATTTTTCCAATTCCAGTGTGTTATTCTCTCTTATTGTTCCTCACACCTACTTAAATAGCATACTATAAATATAATCTATGCTTCTTTAATATTTAATTTTAATTGCCTCTTGGTCCTCTTTGTATCCTAACCTTCATTCTTTATTTGGTTATTTACTGTACATTCTTAGTATTTATAAGAAAAGTATACAGTATGTTTATAAATGTTTATTCATATAGTATACATACACTATAATTGTCATATATAATTCATTTACATGTATAACCAGTATATTAGAAGCACAAAATGGCAAATTTTAATTTGCTGAAGTTTTGTTGTCATTTGCTTTAAATCTATATTTGAGATTTAGGCACTAAATTTTTGTTAAATTTATGAGCTTAAAAAAATTCTAATTTGTATTTTATATTTTTGCAAGGCTTTATGGATCATACCATGGCAAATCAGACTTGCTGTTTAAAGACTCGGCTGTAGGACTGAAGGCTTTAAGTGACGACACCCCAGAGGAGAGAGAAAGAAAGAACGACTACTTTAAAAAACTTGGCGAGCTTCACAGTTGTGAAAGTAAGGGAGAAATAATACTTACGTAAAAACTATTATTTGTTAATTTCATTATAATTACACATTAACTTTTGCAATGACCGATATGTATGATCAGCTTGATATTTCCAGTTCGTGTGTGTGCCCTCGAGGAGCAAATGGCAGACTGTGAAGCCATGGCTGATACAGTCAGTGAATTGGGCCAACAGTTTGTCTGTGTCAGTGCCAGAGACAGGTAAGATCCAAATATATATTTTCTATTGCCTTGCAAAATACTTCTAATCCAAGTGTTAGATAATTGTTATATTTTGTATTAATTATATAAAATGTCAATGAAATATACCAACATGTACTGTATAGTGCAACCTCTTGTGTCTGCATCTTAACATACCAAATTTCTCTAAATAATGAACAAAATTTACTCTGAAATTTAAATTTCTCCGAAAAGTAGTAAAACCCCAGTAGGGACTACAGTGAAATTTAGATTGTCACATAAAGCAATTTTCACCTGGTTATTATTTACATTATTCTATCGTTACTATTCTTACTCTTTTTGATAGTAAATACAATTAATTATAGTATTTTCTTTCGGGGAACCCCTTCGGTTCGCCGGAGCTATCCTGGCTGAGTTGTAGCATGTTAGACATTGGCATCAGTCAGTGTGAATGGAGTTCATAGTCCTACAGGGGACCATTAGTTCAAGGTAGTAATAGAAATTAAAAATTGGCATGACATAGCTTTGTTTTGCTGCCTCTTGGTTCCCAAACCTGTACAATACAAAATTAAGTAGAATTTTTATTTTTAATTTTCTATTAAAAATTTTCTAGAAAATATTAATTTTCTATTTAAAATTCTATTAACATTCTATAATGTTATTTATAACATTACATCATTTATTATTTACAAGGGTTATGTAACACAGTTGTGTTTATAATCAGTTTGCAACCAAGGGGGTACCAGGTTCAATTCTCAGGCAGGACAGAGATGATTGTGTAAATTTCCTTTTGCCTGATGCCTCTGTTTATCTAGCAGTAAATTCTGGTTAGATCCTGGGAAGTTGGCAGTTGGCCAAGGGAGACCTCAATAAGCCTAAGTATAGACTTGCCATTCTTGACAAAGGCAAACTACAGGTATACAAAATTATTGTTCGTTATTCATGTATCTAATTATGTAGAAACATCTGCTGTATCATTTGCTATGAGAAATATCTGGAAGATTTGGAGATACTGTATATTACTGTAGTGCCAAAAAGTGGGGTAATTATTTGGATTATGTTAACAATTCGCTTAATTGGTTCAGACCCAGGACTATATGATACAGATTTAAGAGATCCCACTGTATATAGATCAAGGGGTTTTTAATTTTATGTTTTCTGTATACTATACAAGTACTAAAATTGTGTAAAATATAATGCACATTGCACCAACATGATACTATTGTTAATGCAAATGTTTAGTAGTAACACATTACTGTCATTTATCTTAGACAAATTGCATTATATTTTAGTAATGCTACTGTGTAATGATTTTCATACTAAAATTTAGTCACTAAAATAGTGTTTATAGAGTACAGTATGCTGTACTGTAAATAAATTACACAACATATAGTATATATAGAGCCACTTAAGTCTTTCAAACTCCATGGTTAGTTCACAATTGACCCAAACCTGTTTTGTTTCACTACTTTATTTCATGTATGTCAAGGTTCGACTGTGTTCGACGCATGATGAGAGGGCAGATAGACATGACCCCATTGCCTGGAAGTTACCTTAACATTGACCCTAACCTGCGGATCATTGCCATGGCCCGTGATCCTAGCTACTCCATTGGTGAGTCAGTGCAGGAGGAAGATATTTTCAGTACAGTACTTATATTTTTAATCCATAGAGTGCAGCTGTCATGAAAGTGCCACTCTGCCTTTGCACAAAAATAAAAAGTTTATTTCTTCTAAAGTTGTACATTTGCATGCTAAAAACAAATAATATGCAAAAAAACTACAAATATCAAAGTTGATTCTGGTTTCATATACATTGGGAGGGAGCTGGGTTGGCAGTCACTGGGTCAGTGGCATCAGTACAGTATGCAGTTTGCTCGCTCGTCATGCAGGGGTGATTTATTGCACATAAATCCATTCCTGGCCCATTCCAAATGAAGTGTCTTGCAACCAACTCCTTTGCTGCTATTCTGTCTGGGGACGTCACCTAGAAATATATTTAACGCTCGTTAATCGAGCGAAAGCTCGTCAGTCGAGACATATGTTCTGCGAGTGGCTTGTTCGTTACTCGAAATGCTCATAAGTGAAGCCGGTCGTCACTCAAGGTTCCACTGTATACACATTATATATAAGTACATCTACATTTTTGTTCACCATAACGAACCACTAAGTTGGTATGCCGAGTCAAACAGTAGCAAGAAGTGGCCACCACACACCAGCCAGCCCGCCACTGGCTGCCACGCCCTCCCTCATCTTACCTCACTCGCCAACATTCTCCTCCCACCATACTGTTTTTGCTTTTATTCACTATATACAGATTTTATATATAAGTATCTGCATGTTTTGTTCACCATAGCAAACAACTAAGCTGGTATAATAAGTGCAAAGAGCAACAGTTAGCCACACAGATTCGGCAGACTATGCTACAGCCCTCCCACCCTCAACATTTCTCCTCACCCAGCACAGCGCAAATTATCACAACAATCCTGCTATTATCAGAATCCTGGTCATTTATATCACAGTCAGGGATCTTCTGTAATACTATCATCACTAAATAATACCAGTTACATATATTTTTGGCATTTTTAGGCGATGTTGTGGTCACAAGCTGAATAGCAATGCTGTGAGCTCATGCTGCGTGCACCAGCCTTGGTGGCTCACTCAGTATTGAGGCCCTCGTACCCGGTAATGATGTCCATGATTATTTTAAAAAATGGCGTCTGTTTAAAAGAGGCCTGAGGAAGGTGATGTGAACCCCCGGGTATCCATGGGCCGTTTAAGTCTTGCGTAGTACAGTACTCCAAAACTGTATATGCAGTGATGCCACTTTTGCGTCAGTTACTCAAAGCTTCATATGCAGTTTTGCGCAGTTTAAACATTAAACACTGGTGGAAAAGACTAAATTGTGATTTGATGATACAGTACTGTACTGTAATTGCCACTGACTCATACATGATAATCTCATTGTACAGTAAGCAATTAAAAACTATATCAGAATTTTTTATATTATATCATATATTTCTGTACATATCGGAATTATTATCAAATGCAACTCCATTACATTCATATACTGTATATACATTATATCATTTGTATAAAAACTTGGATGTAATAACTAAAATCAACATAAGATGATAAAATAATTGTATAATCCTGATGACCAAAGTATGATGATAACTGCACTGCAAGAATTAAATATTATACTGTATATAGGGTATGTGTGTGTGTAATTTTATTTATTTATTTTTTATTAAGGGTCACCAATGAGAAAGCTATTAAAGATGGAAAAATTGAAGCCAAATAATTTATAGATAAAGTTTGTTGGCCCTTTCCAAGGCCACTTGGTAAATTAATGTAGAATTTGTTCCAGTAACCCAGTGAACCCTTAATATGTTGGCCTTGGATTTTATGACTTCAAGCAACATCTCAGATACTCATTACAAATCAGCAATTAAAACCAGTGACAAACTCCAACCTCAGACACCATGCAGCATGTTTTTTTTTTAAATCCTAGCTCATGCTAAATATAAAAACACTACATGTATTCTTCGAAATTAGTACAGTACCACTCCCGACCTGAAACCTTCTAGAGGACTGCAACTTAACTCGGACACCATCAAACAAACGAATATCTATTTGGTGTTACAATGCATACTCAACCAAATCAGAAATAATTTGCAAATAATAGGTCTTTTATAGTAAAATAGCCCCCAAGTTCAATAAATTCTGTACTACCTTTAGCCAACTTAAAAAGAAACAAACTAGTGTATTTGATATTAGTCAATTTTTGTATTGCAACATCTAATATGCTTATCGTGGGTTATAGAGGAATACCGCTATAAAGCTGTGATGGTTGTACGGCGAGCCACAGTCAGCCAGATACGTGACCTTCGTGGTAAGAAGGCATGCCACACTGGCTATGGAAGGACCACTGGTTGGCAGATCCCTGTGGCACTGGTAAGTTTGGGTTTCCATTGGATAAAATGGTTTCAATAAAATATATGAATATGTTAAGGATATAATTTGTTAATTAAATCAAATTAAATGTAGTCTATCATGTAAATTGTAGCCTATAATTGTAAATTATCATTATGCTGCAACTAATGCACCATATTTCAGTATGTAAATTCAGGTAAATATGGTTTGTTATTCATTTAAGCTTTTGTATATTTTATATTATTAAATGATAATGACCAATACTTTCTTCAATTGAACTAATCATATTTAGAATAGTATTGTTCCAGATAATGACTAGCTCCGTTTGGCAGCCATTAGCTTCTGTTTTATGATTCTTGATTTGATGCAATGCATTTTTTAATTAAGCTTGGCATGAAATGTTCTCATTTGTTTTACAGCAAGTTTTTAATTTATCTTAATTCATAAAATGATGATCAAATAGCGAGTAATATTATTGATGCATTTTAGATACTTGAAATAATATTGATAATGTTGTGCTTCCCACTCCTGCAATATTAGTGACCAAGACATGCATCTTCACCATTGTAATCACTACCATCAACTTATATTGTAGTTATTATGTAGAACGCAAATTTTGCTACAATGTACCTATTAATTTTGTTCAAATTATGCTACAATGTACCTACTAATATTTATCTTGCATTTAGTTAACCAATACACATAAAATATTACCTAACAATTATGACCACATCAAAGTATAGAAATCAACCTATACTATATTCCAACAGCTAAAACGACAAGGTGTCATACAACCACCCTGCAACCCCAACCAGTCCACACTGGAGCATGAGATTGTAGCTGTGGCCACTGCCTTCAACAGGGCCTGTGTTCCTGGTGAATGGGCAACATCTAAATCTGTGGATGCATCACTAAGTATGTATTAAGGGAGGAAGAAGTATGATTGAATGAAAATATTGACTTTGTTTAAATTTATTTGCATAGCTAAATAACAAGTTCCAGTTTGGAAATTGAGAAAAGGGTGGGCAGGTGTAGAGCTAAGTAAAGAAAAATGATTTCACTAACCCAGGGAATAGATGTATAATATTAGTATGACTTGAGCATGAAAAATCAAATTAGACAATAAGGGTCATTTTAGTGTTTAAATAGACATGATAGAGAATAATGATGTTATAAAATAATGTGGAATAAAACAATTAGAGACTCATGACGATGAGGTATACGAGATATGAATGTGAAGGATTAGCATGGCTAGGGCATGGAAAATCAAGTTAAGGACAGTAGAAATCTATAATTTAGGAGTAATGATGACCAAACTACACTTCAGAAGAAGGAGAAGTGATGACCTTTCAGTCTGTCCTGGACCATTATCAAGTAGTGATCACAAGACTTGATAATGGTCCAGGACAGAATAAAACATCATTGCTTCTCCATCTTCTGAGTTGGGGTTTGGTAATCATTCCTTCAAGCACGTTATTGTGACTCACCGTTTGCATTTAGAAGTATGTGTGATGGCAGAATAGACAAGGCCATAGTCCATGAAATGGCTCGTAATTAATTTATGGAAGTTACCACGAATGTGTTTATATTTAGTCTTTTATAATTTACTGTAATGATATCAATCATAGGAAGTAGTTTGTGTGCATTTTTGTCAATCTGTATGTCTTTACTTTTGTTTTACCTAAATTTACACAAAAACACTACTCTTCCCTATAGTGCACTCTTCTCTATATATAAACAGTCGCACAACAGACTAGAATGATGATTTTACCAGAAATAATAAAGATAATTGCTATAGACTTCAGGAAGGCCTACAATTTACTGTTCCATATCAGCAAGGTGAATGCTAATAACAAATAGTGAAATCTCTTGCATACAGTACTGTAATCTTGTTCCTGTAACTGCTGTAGTAGTTCTTTTGATTGCAAAAATTTATTTAGCAAATTAATTTTTACAATATTTATTATAAAATGACAAGAGTGAAATACAAGGGAGGCTTGATTAAAAAGTATAAACATATTTCAGAAGGTAATGTAATTTTTTCATTGTAGCTCTCTACCCTAATTGTTATTTTCCTAGTTATGCAATTTGGAGGCAGCTGGATTTCTGAAGAATTACATTTTGTTCCAGTATGGATGTTCTGTGTACAATTATATATACAAAACTCACATGATATGCTTGATGTTCATTAGTTTATGAATACTGAATACTGTACAGTATTCCTTTATTTTGTGTCTGCAGAGCAACGCTACGAAGCCATGTGTTCATTATGCAAAAGTGGAACCTGTGATGGTAATGATGACTATGCTGGATATGAAGGAGCTTTGCAGTGTCTCACACAGAATGGGGGAGATGTTGCTTTTAGCAAGCTCAATATTGTTCAACAATTCTTTCAGGTATTTTGGAAAAATATATAAAGTATTGTCGGGGGACTTTTTGAGTGAATATGAACCAAATTAAAGTTTTATATAGCATTTGTAGACTGCATCATATACAAAAGTGACTATGAATTAAATCTGAGTGCATCTAATCACACATTGGGTCCCACAGTGTATTAATCAATTGATATAGTACTGTAAAACTGACATATTCATTAGGTATACAATGTTCACTTACATGATTCACAATTGATTAATAAGGGCAATAGAGCAGTGAACACTAGCAGCTATGGTCTCCTGTGTGAGGATGGTCGCATTGTTGACATACACTCTTCAAATGCCAGTGACTGCTTCTGGGCTGCCCGACCCTGGGACACGTATGTCACACATGGTGCAGCCAGGTGAGTGTACCTTATTGTCGTTTTCCATCCTTTGTTAATTCCTTTCAATTGTGAAATTTATGGATCTTGTGCTGTAGTTACCTTCCTAATACTTGTATTTATATTTGGGTGTAATATGTGTGTGTGTTCAGCAAATGTTTATCATCTTTTAAATTATTTTTTCAGTGATGCAAAGGTTCAAAGATTGTTTTGGGCATTGATCCAGACAAAGAGAAAAGGAGAAGAAGATTTATCAGTTAACAATTGGTATTTTACTACCCTTGGGATCCAAGATTCTTTTATTGATATTCTACCTGTAATGGATAATGTGCAAACTGGAAATTACTATGCAAAAAGTAAGTCATCATTTTCGTTTGGTAAAAGATGCACTTTAAGTGGGGTATGAAAGTTTATTTCTAAGCAGTACAGTTAATTCCTCTCTACAGGAAGATCCTGCAAACCTTTGGTTAGGATTTGGCAATCATGTCACGTTGATATTTTAATTCTCATTAATGGGAACAGAAAGCTTCTACTTAGACTTATCTAAAAACTATTAACGTTCTGCCTAGGACGGGAACCTGGATCTCTCGGTTGTGAGCCAAAGACTTGGACCCCAATGTTAGAGCTCATTTTATACCTAGATCAACATGGAACTTTTAAAACTGTCCCTACTGAATCATACTGGTGCAAGGGCAACAGTGGAGGATACTCTTAGTCTGGCTCAGAATGCAGAAAAAGTGTTTACATCAAACACACAGCTTTCCCAGCTGCATCTTTGCATCAGAATGCCATGCAGTGTCTTGGCTAATTACATGCACTAAATGGCACACTAGGTCATTACACATGTCCATAATTAAATCAGATTACGACTGCATATAATGTAAACTGTATATTATATTTATAGTTTTTATTATTCATGAAACATAAATATTGATTTCCTTGGGATGTTAGCCTTAAACAAAGACTACATTTTATTTTCAGCTCGCATGGACATTGTAAAATCTGAGGAGATGTGTGCTGCAGAGGATGCTGTGAGATTCTGTGTTACCACTGATGATGAACATAAGAAATGTGATGATTTGAGTAAAATGTTGAAACTGAGAGGAGTGACCCCTGATCTCCAATGTGTCAAGGGATTAGATACCAGTCACTGTCTCAATATGATTAGTCTGAACACAGCTGATGTAGTCACTCTAAATTACTCCCAAAACTATGAAGTACATCAGTTACATCAGTTAGTATATTATTTGTTATTAATAGCCATTTACACGTAGTATAATAATTTTACTTCTTGAATTGTGTGCTCTTGCCTAACAGTTTTGCAGTACCAAGCTTCAACTCCTTGCCCCACCTTTCCAACTGTCTGCTGTCCAATGTAAAGACTCTTGACCTTTTTGTCCATTGTCTTAATTGAATCCCAGTAGATGACATTTGACATTTTTTCAATTTCTATATACATACACATTATATTTATTTAATCATATTGGGCTTCCCAACATTGCTGTGACTTAAATGTGTCTAGGTTCCAAAAATATCTTTTCATACTGTCACTGCTTTACTCTTAACATTGTCTCTGTATAGGCCTACTACATCGATAACCTTAAATACTTTGTGAACTCACCTAGATGTGTTTACAAAATTAAGCCAGTCAGTACAATGACTTCCTGTCTTCATATTCCATGTCATACTTTCTTCTGAAATGGTTTATGGAATCTTGTATCCTATTTCTTTTGGTCACATGCTCTTAGTCTGAAAATATTCTTCCTGACATCTTTAGCCGATTTGTGTATATGGTTTTCATTCATGGTCATATATGCTACTGCTCCTCATCTTGAGTATAGCAGTTCCTCTTAATGTTGTGTGTGTGTTACAGTATCACATTCCCTTGCTTCTTCCCTCCAGTTAGGTGATTAGTTCCTTAGCTGCTTACTATAGCTCAGCTTCCTTCAGTTACTAAACAAGAAATGTTGCATATAACTTGACTATTCTTGTATTTTCTGGGGGGAGCCCTCTTTGGCTCCCCAGAGCTATCCAGGCTGATATGCAAATATATTAAACTTTGGCATCAGTGTAAATGGAGTTCATAGGCCTACCGAGGACCACAAACCAGAACCTGGCCCCCTCAGAAAGGCACAAGAAGCAATGGCCTATAGCACATGTGATTTGGAGCATTCTGTGTCTGCCATTGATCGAGTCAGGCACCCAGAAAGGTAAGCATCCCAAAACAAACCCCTATTCTGGTTGAAACTACTACCGAAAGTCAAACGAGTGGACAGAATTCCCCAAAGAAAAACAAGTATGATGTCACCAATTGCCACGCCTCCATCTGCGCAGCTCCCCCCTCCCTAGGAAGGGAAAGGGGGAGCCTCAGACTCCTTGCACTGGCAACCGTGAGTAGCATTGGTCGCTGTGTCTCCTCGGTGTCACAGTGCTCCCCGGTGCAACTCGACATACGATTGCCCCTGCTTACGATAATTTCGAGTTACGATGTAAATTTCATCGAAAAATGCGACTCGACATCCGATGGTGTCGTCGACTTTCGATATTTGTTGGTACATGTTCGGGTCGACCGAGCGCGTGGTTCCCGGTCACGCGGCCGATCTGCCTCAGTTTACTACAGCTGCCCGCTTAGTGACGATCGCCCCTACAAGAAATTCCGCTTTTGTGGTGATTTTTTGCATTTTGAACATTAAAGTAAATATTATATATCAAGCCATGAGTCCCAGGAAAGTCAGTGGTAAGACTCAACATATGAAAACCCATGTAAGGATGACCATAGAGCAGAAACAAGAGTACAGAATGTCTCTTCCTCAACAATTAAGAAAATGTGTGCAGCATGGGAAGAATTGCAAACCTTTGCTGAAACGACTCGCCCAAATCAAGCTGCAGTAGGTCGTTACCTTAACCTATTCAATGACACTGTGATGCATCTTTACAGACAAATGTTAAAACGAAGGAAAAAACAAATGTCTCTTGACAAATTTGTAGTGAGACAAACTAGCAGTGAACCACAACCAGGTCCTACTGGTATGCAGGCAAAACGTAGGAGAGAGAGTACCCCAGAGAAAACATCACTGCCTGATGTTATAATGGAAGGGGACTACCCTTCCAAATAGTAACAACTCTCCTCCTCCCCCCTCATCACCATCTTCCATACACCATCAATAGCCCTCCATAAAGGTAAGAGAAACTTAGGTACTGTATTGTAGTTAGAAAAAAACATTGTATTCAGTATAAAATGTAGTTGTATGTTAATATTTTGGAGGGTGGGGAACGGATTAATTCAATTCCTTTATTTCTTATGGGAAAAATCGCTTCGACTTACGATATTTCGACTTATGATCCGTCTCTGGGAACGGATTAGCATCGTAAGTCGAGGCCCCAGTGTGTGTGTGTGTGTGTGTGTGTATATATATATATATATATATATATATATATATATATATATATATATTGGTGTATACTGGCAGCAGGTTTTCTTTCAAACATGTTTCATTGAATATGACCGCATATTCTGTATTTATTATTTTCTGGTTTAGGGCTTCTATCCCTCTAACTATTTTCTTAGCATCAGGGCTTAATTGGAATAGGAGTTCTCCAAAACTCATTGGAGAGTTAATGAGTTTTGGAGAACTCCTATTCCAATTAAGCCCTGATGCTAAGAAAATAGTTAGAGGGATAGAAGCCCTAAACCAGAAAATAATAAATACAGAATATGCGGTCATATTCAATGAAACATATATATATATATATATATATATATATATATATATATATATATATATATATATATATAGATATAGATATAGATATATATATACTGTACTGTATATAATTTATTTATAAATATACAAGAGGGTACATTGGGTTTATGAGAGTACAGAGAGTTAAATTTTGACATTCTTGTAAAGCCACTAGGCACGCATAGCATTTCGGGCAGATACTTAATCTAAAATATAATTTTAAGAAGGTAATTTCCAGTAAAATTAAAAAAAAAATGTTTACAGGTACATTGTAAAAAAGTATAAAATACATTGTAAGAAAACATAAACATTGTAATAAGGTATAAAAAGGCATTGTAAGAAAGTATAAAAAAAAATACATTGTATAAGAAATTTTACAGAAAAAAAGTAGGTACATTAAAGTAAATTTAAGGGTTATCCACAGATAAATTTTAGCATAATTTGAGGATTATTGCAAGGTATAATGTAGCAAACTACGTGTATTACATGATATAAGATAACAGCAATGATTACAATGGTAAAGTTGTATGGCATAGGTAAATATTTTGGGAAATATTTACCTATGAGTAAGATAATGCATAAGATAAGCATTTCATTATAATTATTTCTGGGGTAAGCCCTCGGTAGCTCCCTGAAGCCATTTTGCTGTGATTGGTCCATACAACACGGCCACATCAGTTGTGGAAGTTCTGTTTGGCCTACCGAGGACTAGATCAAGAACCTGGCACTTCCCCAGAAACTCTGTGTTGACTGTAATGTAATGACTCTTTTTGGGGCAGCCTTGGTGGCTCCCTGATTCTCCTCCTTCTGGGATTGTTGGTTCATTATCGGGATGTTTATCAGCTCCAGAATCGAGAGGGGAAGCTGGTTGAGGGCTGCCTGATGGTCGTAATCGGTGCTAACAATTTTTGAGCTAGTTTGAATGAATCCCTTGTGTGAATCATTTGCAGAGTTCTTTTGGCAGTTTCTAGGATTTTTCTGTTAATCCTTCAGCTATCTGTAAAGCTTTGCTGACTTTCTGGAGGAATTTTCCCGTGGATTTGCAAATTGTCACTCACTCCCAAGGCTTCTGATGGGGTCTGGTTCTGGATCAGGTCCTTGGTAGGCCTAACAGAACCTTTGTGACTAATGTGACCTTTTAGTATGGAGCAATATCAGCAAGATAGCTTCATGGAGCCACTGAGGCTCCTCCATAAAGAGGCATTTCATTACATTCAATGCTGAGTGTTTTCCACATCTCTAGTAGGTTTCACATTTACTTTGAGAAATTGAAGACCTTGGTAGAGAGTTTACTGCATGAGCCTGCTGCCATTTTCAAACTGGATTTTATTACAGCCAGATCCTTTGTTTTTCTTACATCCTCTGAAGTTTATTGTAATTCATTGAACCATTCATACAGAGAATTGTGTTCTTCCATATCATAGGGAGCTCTGATTCAATGCTGAATATACAACTTCTCATAAATCAGTTAAATTTATTTTCTCCTTTTCAGACATTTTGGCATTGCAGCTTTGCTGTCAGAGAGCTATGCCTCGGCAGAGTCTAACTCATACTACCTGGTGGCAGTCATCAAGAAGGGCTCAGGCATTAATACTGTTAGAGATCTGACTGGGAGGACAACATGTGGCACATTAAACAGTCAGTACTGCATAAGTATTACTATTAAAAATATTGATGTAGGGAAAGATAAGAGTTCACACAGTTTTCAGGGAAATATTTCTTGAACATTAGATATTGCAAGCAGACTTATTTGGCCTGTGTCATACATACATTTCCTGTGATTCTGAAAGTTTTTTAAATAATTCTGAAACATGTAAATTTCAGAAGTAGGTTATTTTCTATGAACATATTTAAAAAGTCCAAAGCCAGTTAGACATTAATAATACTGTACTATGAGTTTTCTACATTAAATGTTAGACTGAGATATTCATATAAGGCAAGATACTTATTATATCCAGAGTAAATCTAAACTTCCAAAATATTGTATTTGAGGAGCAATTTGTTTTTTAATTCCTAAAGATATGCATTTATTTAATAGTACAACATAACTGCTTCCATAAGAAATATCAATGTGATGTAATCCTGTGTTTTCACTTGTTACACTAATCATATCAGTAAATTTGTCTGGCATATAATTTTATATTTCTAAGACATATTACAGATCACCTAAGATTTACATACCTTATGTAAAGTCATTACAACACCAACTCGTTGCAGAACCCATCATTTGTTCAGGAGAGCCACTGTTCAAACTCTCCTTCAAAGTTCTTACCACCCTCTTCAGCAATATATAGACTTGATACCAAAGATTTGAGGCATTAATTTTTTTTTGTTTTTTTTGATATATACAAGAGTTGTTACATTCTTGTACAGCCACTAGTACGCATAGCGTTTCGGGCAGGTCCCTGGAATACAATCTCCTGCCGCGAAGAATCGTTTTTTCATCCAAGTACACATTTTACTGTTGCGTTAAACAGAGGTTACAGTTAAGGAATTGCGCCCAGTAAATCCTCCCCGGCCAGGATACGAACCCATGACATAGCGCTCGCGGAACGCCAGGCGAGTGTCTTACCACTACACCACGGAGACTGTTAAAATCAATTTGTATTGATTTGCTGAAGTAGGATGCTTGAGAAGTGTTCAATATTGATAATAATGAATATTATCCTCTTCATGTTCTATCCTTAGCAGCATTTATTTTAATGTGGTAAATTACATAACTTTTGGATACTATTTTTATTCATGTGCGTAGTTAATGAAGCATCTCTCTGCAGATTCATCAGATGGTCTTGGTAGCCTGATAAACTGTCTCGGTGCTACTAGTGACCCCTTCCTCACATATGCAGATGCATTCAGTTGTCTTGTGGGGTCTAATAAAGATGTAGCATTTGTTAAGCATGCTATTAATAGTGAGAGTGGTAAGTACCTTGTGTATAATCTTCTGAACACACAAATAAATTGAACATGAATTATTTAAATACAAGAAAGCACAAATTTGCTATACTGTACACACAATATATTGAATGTGTATCATATTTAGTATACTTACAATAATAGTACAGTGCAGGGGCTAAGTATAAATTATTATGAATGAAGGACTTTGAGTGAGTTACTATATTTATAGGTATGTTCTTGCAGAATGGGAATAATCACAGAAAACACAATAGCCCTGTACAAAATTCTCAGAAGCAGACTATTTGTCTTAGGGTCTCTGCATGCACAAGGGGTATAGTTAGAAATTCTGTAGTGAGCAAATTAAATGTACTGTGAAGTGAAGGAGGCAGGTTCTATATGTATCTTCAAATGTAGATACAAGAAAAACCAATAGTCTGGGAACTTGTACACCAGTCAATTGCAGGTCGAGATTCAAGGCCAACGAGCCAAAGCTCATTCCCACAAATGCAATGAGATGAGTCGGCCTGCATCTTTTTAGGCTGCTAGGAATTTGACAGCAGTACATAAGGCTAGAGCACAAAATGACTTGAAGCTCTTCCTGATAGGATGTAATAGACCCCCCATGAACATCACTATAAATAAAAATTTGATACTTCCTGAGTCACTCAATCTATGCAAACATGCTACGCAAATAAAAACACAAAATAAATGGAACTCTTAAAAATGTAAAGAATTACTCAACCTGTATGTTATTCAAAGGTAACACTCCTAATTTCCTCACCATAGTATCACACATTGTACTATTAACTTGCTAATACTATACAGTACAAGGGAAGGTGCTCCAGTGGATAAGCAAGTATTTAAGCAACAGGAAACAGCGAGTAACTGTGAGGGGGGGGGGGAGACATCAGAGTGGCGAGATGTCACCAGCGGAGTCCCACAGGGCTCAGTACTTGAACCCATCCTGTTCCTAATATATGTAAACGATCTTCCAGAGAGTATAGACTCATTCCTCTCAATGTTTGCTGATGATGCAAAAATGAGAAGAATCATGACAGATGAAGATAGACTACAGGATGACCTGGACAAACTGGAAGAATGGAAAATGGTCTGGAAAATGGCTGCTAAAGTTCAACTCGGGGAAAGTGTAAAGTAATGAAATTAGGCAAAGGGAGCAGAAGGCTGAACACAAGGTACCATCTGGGAGGTGAAATCCTGCAAGAGTCAAATAGAGAGAAAGATCTGGGGGTTGATATCACACCAAACTTGTTCCCAGAGGCCCATATCAAAAGGATATCATCAGCGGCATATGCTAGGTTGGCCAATATAAGAACTGCCTTTAGAAACTTATGTAAGGAATCATTCAGGACCCTGTATACCACTTATGTCAGACCAATTCTGGAGTATGCAGCTCCAGCCTGGAGTCCATACCAAGTTAAACACAAGACAAAGTTTGAGAAGATTCAGCGGTATACCACCAGGCTTGTCCCAGAACTGAGAGGTATGAGCTACGAGGAAAGGCTTACGGAGCTGAACCTCATGTCCCTGGAAAACAGAAGAGTTAGGGAAGACATGATAACCACCTACAAAATCTCAAGGGGAATTGACAGAGTGGACAAAGACAAACTCTTCAGCACGGGTGGAACACGAACAAGGGGACACAGGTGGAAACTTAGTACCTGAATGAGCCACAAAGACATTAGAAATAATTTTTTCAGTGTCAGAGTAGTTAATAAATGGAATGCACTAGGAAGTGATGTGGTAAAGGCTGACTCCATACAGTTTTAAATATAGATATGATAGAGCCCAGTATGCTCAGGAATCTGTACACCAGTTGATTGACGGTTGAGAGGCGGGACCAAAGACACAAAGCTCAACCCCCGCAAGCACAACTAGGTAAGTACAGTCTGAAAATAAAATCCCATCAATTATACTTATATCCTTTCTCATTATCACCACCTTGTCATATTACTAATTTTATATAATACAGTAGTTGTTTCCCAACTGTAATTGTTGACTCAAACACACACAATTTAAGATTAGTTGGTTGCCTTGCAACTTAAAATTAACATCAAATTCTTTGTTAGTTTTAAAGTCAACTGAAACACTATGTAAGTTAGCGGTCTTGTGAGAATATACTAATTAATCACTATAACCTGTAACAACAACCCAGTAAGCTCAGGTGACCTTCAGAGACATGGTGCATTTCCCTAAGGTTTGCTATTACTACAAAACCTTATAATTATACATCTATCACACTGATAAATGTTCAGTAGTTGCCAAAATGCTAGAAAAAATATTTAAGAAGTTGTAGACTACAATACACAAATAAAATATAATCTATAAAGTTTTCTCGTTTAACATTGTACTGATAGCCTTAATATCGAGTACAATATAAGTTTAATTAATATTGATTTAATTGCGGATACATTTGCAGATATAAATGGGGAGATGAATACGCAACTTATGGATCCTCAGAACTTCCAACTTCTGTGTGCAAATGGGGCTTTTCCTGTCACCAGTTATAATGTCAAAGAATGTAACCTAGGAAGAATACCAGCTAACGTGGTAAGTTCTCAAAGATGATGGTAGTCTTGATTATTTCATATTGATGTTCAAAGTACTGTAATGTATAATTTGCACAGTACAGATATACAATAGTTTGCCTTGCTATTGTAACTTTATATGCTTACCTTCAAATAGTATTCCAAAATCATGTTTTCTTGGTTTATTTTTTACTGTTCCAATATTAAAAAATTACTCCTACTTTCAATGTTTTTGCTTTTAAAGGCATACAGAATCACTTAAATAATATAATCTAATTACAAACTCACTTGAAGTTTTTGTTCAACATCTGTGCTCTTGTGCAGTCAAGCCAAGCCCCCATAGCCGGGTGTGGCACACCCCTGTAACCTAGTTTGCACTTTGACTTCTTCAATAAATTCTAAAGGTTTCTGCTTACAAAATGCAAACTAGTCCAATTCTTAGAGCAGATCACAGTTGACAATAATGTAGAGAACACTAAATTGAGAACAATCTTCTGATGTTTTGCCCAGCAGGCAGAATGTCAGACTTTTCTGCACTTTCTTTGGCATTTTTAAATATACAGTATTCCATTGCCATTTTCCAATGTAAAATAAAGTAAATTTTATTCAGGAAAGTACATACATAGTTGATTTACAAACATAATGTTGGATTTATAGATAGAGCTAGTACATACAATACCTAAAGCCACTAGTATGCATAGCGTTTCGGGCAAAGTACTCTTAATTTACCCTTTGCTTGTGATGACTCAAAATAAAAATTACAATACCTTTCCACAAATGCAGAACATGGAATCTTCCATCTTCCCCTGCTAGGAATCAAATCCAAATCCAGGACCAGTACGTTCAGCCAACTGTACTACATTCACAAAGTGTTGTGAATATTTTGATTTAAAGCAATTGTCTTTTCCATGCCAATAGTGCTCCTTGAAATTTGGTAAAATTGGTTAGCTGGATGGCTTGTTAACCCTTTGCAGAATCCTAGGAAAATCTCAAAAGTACAATACCAATCCTTTTATGGAATCAATGACTAAATGGGCACTGATGATCACAAGTTGGGGACTTGTGATCCAGGGACCTGCCCGAAACGCTACGCGTACTAGTGGCTGTACAAGAATGTAACAACTCTTGTATATATCTCAAAAAAAAAAAATAAAGTTCAACCCAGACACTGCTCTGCTCATATTGCTTTCAGGGAAATCAAATTATTCATGTTATCCATACTCCCCATCTGGATTTTGAAAATCCTTTGTCATTGTCATTAATTTGTATTTTTGCTGTTTTTTCTGATTTGTTTCCTTCCTGATACATATGACAAATTTACGTGTTTTGTTTAAAAAGTGTCATATATATCCGTGCAGGTTGTAACTCGCGAGTCTGAATCAGGAATGAGGATGGAGAACATGCGTCATCTTCTTCTAAAAGCAGCGGAATACTTTGGGAAACCAGATTCATTCTTTAGGCTCTTTTATAATTATTTTTCAAAACATAATTTACTATTTAGGGTGAGTCAGTTATAAGGCATTCTTATTAAAAAAAAAAATTAGTAATAAGTTGCATTATAACCAAAATATTTCAAAGTTCAAAGTAGATTTAGCTGTTAAGTTATGTTTTTTAAATATTTTTCAACGCAAATATTTTTAAACAATATAATCATTCTGTACATCTAATTCTTTCCTGCAGGATGATACAAGGGCACTGATACCAGTCAGTGAAGATACATACACCAGGTTCCTTTTTGATATGTGGGCGCAGGCATGCGGCTTGCATGAACGTCACCTCAAATCGGAGGTAGGCATAAACTTGTATGAACATCACCAGATTTTAACAAACTTTCAGTGAAGAAAAGAGTCATCCAGCGTTTGCTTTTAAGTGGTTTACTGGTTGACCCAAATTATGAATGATATACTACTGTGGAAGATGTAGAACAGTTGCTTTCCAGTGTATGGCTGTTCTTGACCGACATTTATCCATCATCATCATACATTGTCATATTCATTTATTGTTCATTTTTTTTCTATGTGCCTTATAATTATCTCAATAGGCTCCTTTACGTATTGTAATTAAAATAAATGTTGTATTTACCACACATGTATATTTCTTTTAGTATTCAAGTAGCTGCTATTTCATTGTACAGTATTGGTTGAACCACGTTATACATTCTCGACTCGTAATCTCGGATCCCATGTTCAATCCTAGGAGAACAGATATGGTTGGGCTAGTTTCCTTTCACCCATTGCCTCTGTTCATCAGAAGTTAAGGGGTGGACCAACTCCACTGAAGACTGAGGGAGATGACTCAAAGCCCACAAATTGTGGGACCAAAAGCTGGCAAAGTGTGCTAGTTGCTCCCCTACAGTGCCATCAAAGGGACAAACTGCAAAAGGACTGGCATGAAGAACCAAGAGTGGTGCCATCCATAATGGCAATGATAAGCAAACAAAGCAACCATAGAAAGAAGTGCAAGGGCCCGAGAATCTAAGTCTGTCAAGGACCTACCCCCACCCAACACCAGGTGAGGTTTCAACTCTACTGGACTACCTCCAAAAAGCAGGGGACAGAAAGATCCTCAGACTGAGTAACAAAATAGGGGGCAAACAATGATTGGGCTGAATCGTCTGGGCCAAGTGAAATGGTGTTACTGCCTCCAGAGGGAGTGAGTGAGTAACTTGGGTAAGGTCACCAAAGCCAGCACTGCAGACATGGTTTCCACACCCGAGACTGAAGTCAGCAAATTCATGCCTTTACAAAACTTTTTGACAAAAGGCTACACGATTACCCAAAAACACAAGATGGCTGCCAACTGGGTATGATCCATGTGATCTTCCAGTGACAGCTCCAAAGTGAACATGGAGCCATCACTTGTCCATGTCTTCAATAGAGCCAAATCTGAATGCCAAATTTATTCATGTCGGTATATCACAAGTAATGTGCTTGGCCTCTTACCGTGGAATATTTACTTCAATGATGATCTACTCATTCTTGAAACTAGCCTATGCTGATGACTGCACTCTAACTTTGCAATATACAAAAGGGGAAATGCCATTTGCTGCAAGCTTCATTAATGATAACTTGCAGCAATTTCTTCTTGCAGTAGGTGATGACAGGTTACATTTGCAGCAGAATAAAACACACAAGAGAGATAGATATTTATTTTAACACATATATGTTCATACTATACTTAAAAAAATATCTCATATTTATTCTAATATTCACATAAGCTATATGGCATCAGATAAAATGAGCACCAATACACAAGCAATTATTCATAGCAGAAATTCTCCACTTCTCAAGACCAGATGTACAGTTCTTCTCATGAATTGTCATACAGTACACACATTTGCTCCCTCCTTAAAAAACCTTCTGTTACATAAATTATGTGTAACCGTATCACACATAAATTATGTGTGATACGGTTACATAAACCATATCACACATAATACGGTTTCTGTCCGCCAATCTTTCCGGTCTTCCTCTCCTCAGTGACATTGAGAATAAACAAAAATGAATTTGCTACAAGTCAGCCTTATGCAACCCCGGCTGGGTGCCTCCTTCATGAACTCTCCTAAATTAATGATATAGTGAAATTTTATCACAAAGTAAGTTACTTAGAAATTTTAATTTCATTTTATCCGGAATAGCATCAGTAATAGAAGAACAAATTTAATTTCAGAATTTTTGTCTTGCACACACCAAGGTTTTCATATTAATTACTTGTGCACTTGAGGGGTTAAGTGGCCACCGGTTGTAGCCAATATAAAACCAAGCCAAAAATGTTTCCCATTGCCTATTTTGGTGATGGGAGGGTGGGGGGGGGATCACTGGGATAGGTCACATTTGATGATATGCAATTTGTTACTGGTAGAAGCTAACAATTGAACTCGTAGAAGCTAACAATTTATCTCTCAAAACAAAGACATTTTTCTACTAATATACTCTATTATGGGATGCATAGACTTCTCTATACCAATTGGTGTATTAACCGAGTCTGCAAATATAATGATTCTTACTGAATATGTTGAAGATTTTCAGCACAAAAAGAAATAGCATGTACAGTAAGTAGTTCTTTTGTGAATTGTACTTCCATCATCTTGCAGGCATCTTCTCCACAGACATTCGCAAATCCTACCACTTTCGATAATTTTAATTATGTACATTAATACCAGAACATGCGCACAAATTCTGTATATTGCTTTTTGTTGTAATAAATTCTAAACTCTTTCAGATAACTTTTTTTTTTTTTTACAGACAAGATTTTTCCACAATTGTAAAAGTGGGATTATGAAAGGTTATATCTTTAAGTACTGTATGTCTGAATTTTTGTTAAAATGTGAGCAATATGAGCCTTGACCCTTTTCTTGTTACTGAACTTCAGGTTACTGGTCTCTCTACAGTCTGCTATTTGGTGCAGCTTTGAAGTTGCCAAGCTCAATCAGTGCCATTTTGTAGATAATATTTATCTTCATATGCATTTTGGTTGATGCTGAGCAAACTAGGCATCCATAGTCTAATTTTCATAGTAACGTATTGATGTACAGAGTTCCCCAACCAGAAAACAGGATGTATTCCAGAATTTTTTTGCAAGTTAGCCAAATGTGACTCAAAACCAGATTTCCAATACACTGAATACTATAGATCGGGGATACATTCCCAGACCTTTTTAAGAAACCAACTAACTTTTGTTCTATTTACCTTAAATGAAAGAGTTGCCTTGCTTATCTGACAATGCTTTTTGAAGATTGAAGAGGTCTCATTACATAAAGGAGAGAGCATAAGGTGGCGATTCATTGGTGGCAGAAATTGCTGGGTCATATCCAATGTCACTGGGAACTGTAAGTACTTATTAAAAAAGTCAAGTCCAGACATCCATATAGCACCATCTGTATTACAGAATATTAAAAGGTTCCTGAATATTATTCAGGATGTCGATAAAAAGAGGTGAAAGACAAGATGAATAATACCAAAATATAGATGAAGTCACAATAACGTGGCTGAAAATGTTGACCAAACCACACACTAGAAAGTAAAGAGACGATGACGTTTTGGTCCTTGACTCAATGGAAATGGGAGAGCAAAATTTACATTCCTGAAAATTAGGACATTATATGGGAAGGTGCACAACTGGTATTGGGACAATGCAGTTCCAACAGTAATATGTAGGTTTGTTTCATTAACCACGAGTTAATCATGTCTCCAATACACACCTAGCAAAGAAAAGGTTCTGATGTCTGTTATGGCCACAGGAATTGGTCGCACTGGATAATACAGTACTGTAGTGAAGTATATCCAAACCCCACATAAAAAAATTAAGAACCCAGTGACATTTCAGTCTATCCTGGACCATTGTCCAGGACAGACTGAACTACTGTTTCTTCATTTTCTCGTGTGTGGTTTGAATATCATTATCTTCAGCCATGTTAATGTGACTCATTGTCTGCACTGTAGTGAGTGCAATTTGCTACTCATAATAGCTACCACTCTCTCTCTCTCTCTCCAAAGGTTGCTATAAGGTATGAATTTTGAGTAAGAAATTTCCTCCTGGAAGATAGAGGGAGGAAAGAATGTCCTCTTAACAGCAGCATCTAAGAGTTTACTTTCAACACCAATGAATCACATTTTGTTTCATTAAACTTGACTTCAAACACACACACATTCCTGTACATTAAAAAATAGCAGAGAAAGGTCAGAAATAGTGTAAAAATATTATGGAGACATAAGACTACAGGTAGTCTTAAAATATAATTGTTCCTCATTGTGGCTTTTCTTTAGGATTAGGATTGGTAGCTAGATCCTCTGTTGCTGCCTTTATGCATTCATTAGAGCAGAAGAGCCAATTTTTAGACATCTTGAATCGCTTCCCTAGAAGGGGGTCTTTGCAAGAATAACATCGGAAGCAATGCGGGTTTGCGTGATAAAAGTATCCTCGATGGCCACAACGATTCTCTTCTGGTGGTATTTTCTCCTCACACGTTTCGCACATCTGAAACAACAAAAATTAATCACGTATTCTGTACAGCACCATCTAAAAGGCAACTAAAAGAACTTATGAATAAGCTACTCTAATGTTGGAAATGTAGACAAGTATCCAAAAGATAAAAAATATCTTACATTCTAAAATGGATAGATTTTATGTACTGAAGAAATGCTCTCGACTACACTTGAAAATTAACAATGACATGTTATGAATTAACAATGAATATGTTAGTACACTGTGCATATTCAAGAACCTTTGCACCAGCACCAGGCCAAGCAAGAAAAATACTAGAGCCTGTCCATGTCTTAATAAAATGTATAGAAATTCAATAATTAAAACGGTATACTGTACAACCTTAGCTAAACAAGCCATGTAGCATGGAAGGCAGTATGGGTATCCATCTTTGTCTGGCACATATCGCTGTCCTGCCATGGGAGTATCACACACATTGCAGCAGAAATGTTGAATATGCCAATCAAAACCATCTGCTCGAGTCCAAGAATTTCCAAAGATGAGCTGCAGGAAAACCCAATTAATTTTCCACTATTTCACACCAGTACAGTCAATCAAATAAGATAACAGTAGTATACTGGATGGAAGTTTTAAGACATATTGTAATTACAGGGAAGTTATTGATGGAAGTACAACAGATTTTTTTAATAATGTTCAAATTCTTAAAGTTTACAGTAGTCTCATAAAATTATTACAATAATATACACAGCTAGGTTAGGTGTTTGCTATACAAACATTTGCAGAAATCCTTTTTCAATTCTAATGGGATAAATTTAGCAAAATGAGATACAATATTATCTTGTGAAATTTCTCTCCGCAGCTATTACTTTCATTCATATTTTACTTTTAACACCCTTCTGTTATATACACCAACAAAATTTTAAGCTAGTCTAAATATATACCGTATATCTCACTCTCAGCTAAAAGAACTGTACCATCTGAATACATCAAATATGAGATACTGCAACTACTTGTATTAGACCTATATACTAAGCTAATACTACTATAATATTCTTACCTTGACCTCACTCATGACTCCATTCATGTATATATTGAACTCGAAGGTAATTACATACATAATATTAAACCACTCACTCACTGACCACTGACAAGAACTACTTCCTTCTAATACAACTTATGTTGCTAACTTGGGCATCCTTATCACTCTCCAAAATCTTTCAATGTTAATTTTGTAATTTTTTTTTAAATCAATAAAGTTACCTCACAATGTTTTCCATGGCTCCTTAACAAGCTTCAAATGCAATTATCTGGTCTACACACATCCTCTTCAACTATAGAACAACCTGCCAATTTCCCATTATCAGGGACATGATGTCTGTTAGGCTTTAGAATGTGACCCACAAACCCCACAAGTCAACTAACTCCTAGATATCCTTTAGACCTAGATGAACCAGTAATTCCAGCTATCATCATACTATCATGCAAGAGGAGCCACACATCTATGGATCATCCAAAAAAATCAGCAGACTTCTAGATGTTACTACTGCTCGGCTTAGACTCGGTTACAAGTATCTCTGGGAATTCTCATTATCTGCTGATGTAGACCTGACCAAATGTAAAATGCGTCAACAAAATTATTCGCACACCCTCCATCACTATGTGATGGAGTGCGAAAAGATACGTGAATTTAGAGACAATTCTATAACCAATGTTCCAGCGATGTGTCAATATTTCATTCAAAATGATCTGCTACCAGAAATTTTAGCTAAATATCCCCAGTTTGCTAACTGTAGGTAGGAACCGAGTGATTGTAACCTATCCACCGCTGCCCACTGGATGGGGGGCGGTGTGCAGGACAAACATATAAATTGTGACACTAGCTCTCCACATGTCAGTTGCTTAATTTAGAACCTGTACTCGAGGTCGATCTCGAACCCATTGTTGATGTGACGACTTATATTGAATTTTGTAACTAGCTCATCAAGATTGTAACTTGCTTAGCTAAATGAATTGTGGGGTTCAGTCCCTGAGCCCATTATGTACCTCTGTAACCCTTTCCACTACCACCCGCAAGATGGGTATGGGGTGCATAATAAATGAACTAAACTAACTAAACTAGATGAACAGACATAAGGGTGTAAGGAAATGTGCTCAAACATCTTACCCTACTCAGAACTCAAATTCAGGACAATCACTTGTGTGCAACCCATTACACTACAAATTCCAATCACTATCTTGTCATACAATTTGCCTATTACACTTAGTACAGTAATTCCTTAATCATTCTTTCATTCATTACAATCCCACAAAATTTTACACGACAGTGCAGTCATGAATTCCAATCATCTGACAAATTCTTGATATTCATTCCATTTTCCAGCTGTATTTGATCACCTCTTAGCATACTTTACTAATATCTCCAGCTTTCCCACATTTCAAGAGAAAAATGTAATGAAGTTGAGATTCCCTAATTATTGAATTTGATAAATCATTACAGTACACTAAATCGATTCCATAAAAGATAAATTTACTATAAAATTAATGAAATACAGTACTAATACAAAAAATTACTAGCACATACCTCGTCACAAGATTTACATCTAGGCATGTCTGCAGCATCTGTAAAATGCCGTCCACAAAACACTTTGCCATCTTTGTAGAAATAAATAAGGTCTGCCAGCAGCTCTTTACATGTGTAGCAGCAGAAGCAGGCTGGGTGCCAGCACTGTGAGCAAAATATAAATTATCAATTTTGAGCAGATAAAACTTTTTTTTTTTTTTTTGATATATATACTGTACAAGAGTTGTTACATTCTTGTACAGCCACTAGTACGCGTAGTGTTTCGGGCAGGTCCCTGGAATACGACCCCCACCGCGAAGAATTGTTTTTACAACCAAGTACTCATTTTACTGTTGAGTTAAACAGAGGCTACAGTTAAGGATTTGCGCCCAGTAAATCCTCCCCGGCCAGGATACAAACCCATGAGAAAGCGCTCGCGGAACACCAGGTGAGTGTCTTACCACTACACCACGGAGACTGAAATGAAATACCTGCTGCCACTCGTACTGTTATATCTGGTTCATTCTTTAAGAATAAAAGTTTACTGGATAATGTTATTTATCGGCACCAGAGGAATTAAACTTACAATTAGGAATACAGTAAGTGTAAATTACCAGTATTTCATGTGATAATGCTTTATTTTCAAAAAATAAATTAAATTAAAAAAAAGTTAACAGTACCTGCAAATCATTTACTGCAATGTATAAATTTTATATTAATTGAACAAATAAAAACTACATTACTACTAAAATATATATACTGTACAGCATTTCATAACAGTTTCAGACTGACTGAAAGACTGACTGACAATGCTAGCCAGTCAGTCTGGCTAGAGCAAAAGGAGAAAAGGAGTAAAAGGTCCCACCCATTAACTAATAGAACAGTTTAGTACATAAAACACATGAATCAATACATACCTTGTCTATCCCTGCTCTTTCACAGAAAATAGCCACATCACCAACATTCATGGGAAGACTGCAATATTGACAGGTGAGCTTGCTTTTCTGAGGCACATTACTGCTCTTCATGCGAGAACCAATAACTTGGCTCTCGCCAGGAAAGAGCACAGTCACATCAGTCCCGGGTGCTAATGACATCCCACCTTTGAATATTTAATGAAAAGATATAAATGTTCACCATTGAAAATTAGATTTAAAATATACAGTACTGTGATTTATAAGAATATGCATGTTGATTGGATTATATTGAATACATGAAATACATACAAATAAGAAACATTAATCTTTAAAAGTAGAAGGTATGTGAAGCAAAGTTTTTAAAGCGAAGACAAGTATTGAGACTTCTGAAATACAGCCGACTCAACATCAATGTCTGGGTATGACTGGGCGAAGGGGAAAAGGAAAAAAAGCAAGTAGCCAATAAGAAAGTATTTCTAACCTATTGCCTATATAAATGAGTTAGGAATAATTATATATATGAAGAACAGCAGAGGAATCAAATTTTGAATAAGGAATAATAGGCAATAGCCAGAACAATCTATTCCATAAATTCATTAAAGGCCAAATTAAAGGGTAAGAACAAAATACAAAAGGTAAATTTGACAATTGTTTTCCAACAAAGAAGTGAGAGGCAATCAATGCTAAGTTCCAGTGTGTCAGGGAACATGACTTTATGAAGCCACACTTATTGTTACCTTGACATAGTAAAACATCTAAACTATTGGGACCGACTAAAGAACCTAAATCTGTATTCTCTTGAGCGCAGGCGGGAAAAATACATAATAATTTACACGTGGAAAATAGTAGAGGGGCTGGTCCCAAACCTGCACACAGAAATAACACCACATGAGACCAGGAGGCATGGCAGAATATGCAGAATACCCCCGTTGAAGAGCAGAGGTGCAACAGGTATTCTGAGAGAGAACTATCAACATCAGAGGCCCAAAACTGTTCAATATGTTTCCACTACACATAAGGGGCATAACTGGCCAACCCCTCACAGTGTTCAAGAAAGAATTTGATAAACACCTCCAAAGGATACCTGATCAACCAGGCTGTGATTCATATGTCAGCCTGTGAGCAGCCGCGTCCAATAGCCTGGTTGACCAGTCTAGCAACGAGGAGGCCTGGTCGATGACCGGGCCGCGGGAACGCTAAGCTCCGAAACCACCTCAAGGTAAGGTACAGTAGAATTTTTCCCAGGTCTAAAGAGGAAAAATGAAACAGCTAACTAAATATTGCAAGCATTGTGCCAGTACTGTTCATGTATATAAAAAAGGGGGCATAGAGAGGCCCCATTATATTACAGGCCATAATTACTACAAAAGTAGCAGTTGAAATATTAGAAAAAGCAATCAGGATAAAATTTGAAGAAGATTTGGAAAACTACACAAGTGAGATATACTGAACTAACAATAACAAGCCCAAGAACACACACCTTAGTTTTATGATTGCAGTTAAAGTCAGTATAACTTATGATCTACTAAGGATCATAAGGTAACTTGACAAAAGCAAACTACAGTGTTGTAAAGTGAATAAATTTGAATTTAAGGAAGAGGCCTACTGTATCAACAAAATAAAGTAAATTGATAACTAGTACAAAACCAAGTTCAAACATTGCTGAACCATGAATGAAATTACGAATCTGTGAATCTGTCAAATTAATAAATTGGAGAAACTTTCATAGCATATTAATATTAATAATGGGGTTCTCACCTGTCATTGTGTCCAAACGAGCCCCATAAGGAGCCTGCACAGCTTCTACAGAAGTTATGTTCCCATTTTTGGCATTCATCTGCTGCTGTGGCACCCTGCTTTGGTTAGCCATGGTATTCTGAGTGCCTCCAATATTCCCCATAATGTAGGGAACACCAGCTTCTTGACCAGAAAGATGATGTGTTGGCTCTGATACACCAATATTGTAGTCATGAATAGTTGTCTCTTTAGTGGGATTATAAAACTGCTGACCTTGTCTGGCTGGCACATATCCTTCCTGACCAAGCCCTTGATCCTGGTTAACAGGAACATAACCTATCTGTCCTGGTCTGAGGTCTTGTTTACCTGTCATGTAGCCTTCCTGGCCTGGCAACAGGCCTTCATTATCTGCAACATAGCCTTCCTGACCTGGCAGGAGACCTTGTGTACCTGGCACATAACCCTTTTGGCCAGGTGAGAGGCCATGTTTGCTTAACCCATAAGTCTCTTGGCCTGGTATCAGGCCACATTTACCTGGTTCCGACGTACCCATATAGTAACCATGAATTGTGGTCTCCTTGCTAGGTGTGTAAGGTTGTTGACCTGTAGTGTTTATATATCCTCCTTTGTTAGCCATGTAACCTCTCTCGACTGGCAGGCCCTTATTAATATACTCGTCCGATAAGGGGACTTGTTTATGCGGCACACAGGTATCCTGGCCTTCATCACCAATTGTATAACTGTGATGACTAGGCACATTGTCATGTTGACCAGGTTTATTACTTTTCTGACCTGGGGTAAAAGCCTTACTGCCCAGTATATTGTTATTAAACTGACTAGAACTATTACCAAGCTGACCCTGTCCTAAATACGGCTGACTAAGAATATTATCAGTGCCAGGTGTGGCACCTCGTCCTGAAATCCCTCTCTGAAAAGAATGAACTTGAATTAGTACAAAAAATTAAAGCTCATTTTGATATATATATATATATATATATATTTTTATACCTGTATATATATACAGTATAAATACTGTATATAAAATTTTAATACATGTACAGTACAGTGGTACCTCCGTTTTTTTATTTAATCCGTTCCCAGAGACGGTTCATAAATCAAAAATTCATAAACCGAAACAAAATTTCCCATAAGAAATAATGTAAATTGAATTAACGTGTTTCACACCCTCAAAAATAGTAATAATAACCCATTTTATACATACTACTACTTATATTTTACACTACAGTATGTACAAGTATAATCTTATCTTTAATAAGGACTCTTGTTGGCATATGGAAAACGGTGAGGAGGGCGGGGCAGGAGGAGGAGAGGTGTCAGTGTTTTGGTAGGCAAGTCCCCTTCCATTATAACATCAGGCAATGATATTTCTGGGGGTACTCTCTCTCTCTCTCTCTCTCTCCTACATTTTGTAGACATACCACTAGGACCTGGTTGTGGCTCACTACTTGCTTGTCACCGACACTTGGCTCACTGACACTCGTTTTTCCCTACATTTTAACACTTTTCTGTAGTGAGACATCACATTCATTCACTATGAATGATCTTTTGTTTTTCCTCTATTGTCATCCTCACAACTATTTTCTTAGGTTGAACTTTACCACTGACTTTTTTAGGACCCATGGCATGATATATAATAGTTACTTTTATGTTCAGAAACCAAAGAAGCACAAAAACAATCAAATTCTTCACAAAGAATTCAGTCGTGATCGTCATTAGGCGGAAGATACTGGTAAACTAGGAACCACGTGCTCGGTCGACCTATACGTGTATCAACAAACTCGCCACGCGAGGCAAAGCTCGTATACCGAGTTGAATTTTACAAAGAAATTGAGCTTGTAAACTGAAAAATTCGTAACTATGGGCATTCGACAACCGAGGTTCCACTGTACAAAGAACAGAGCAACCTTAAAAATATTTATTGTACTGTAAAAGCGCTCCAATTTAGATTTCAGTAACTAAAATCTAAATTGTAAACTGGATGAATTCACATTTTAGTTTTGACCTTTTTGATCTCTTAAACCAATTTGGAATTCAGGTTAATTATGTCAATAGAGAAACCTGAATAAATTTGAATTTGTTAATTTTTGGACATTCTTGGTAAAAAAGTCAACTAACTTGAATGGGGAGTGGGCCCCATATGATTTGGATTACTGAAAATTGATAGTATACAAGTTTATATCTCAATACTGTACCTGCATTGTATTATAAGAATGCATGACAGTAATAAATGCATAACGATAATGAATGCATGACAGTAACTACGAGATTTTAACTTACCTTCTGATCACCATCAATATTCAGGTCAGAGAATCCAGTTGCAACTCTATCCAAATGTTGGTCAGCACCAATACCTCCCACAGGTCTAGATGTCTGAGGAGCAACTCCATACAGCTTACTGTTAGCTACACTGCTAAAATCTCCAATCATCTCTCCTATAAATTTATCACGCAGACTGGACCTTTTATTATCAGGTTGTCCAACAGGTTGCCTATAATATTGGTCATCGACATAAGGCAAGTTTTTATTTCGAAGTATATAGTTGTCAGGTGCGAGTCCATATACTGAATTATCTCCAGTGGTAGCATCTGGGCGATAACCAATATCTTCATTATTCTCACTGTCTCTTCCAGACCCTTGCCAAACATTCTTCATTGGGTGCTGACCCAATAAAGGCTGTGCCATTGACTTAGCTGGGGCACCAGCAATTTCTTGGACCAAACCCTGCCCAGCTACTTGGGTCTTGATACGTTCAAGGAAAGCATGGAAACACTGTAGCTCTTCAGCAGGCATATTGTCACATCTTTGAGCCTCATCCATATCATAAAGGGGAATTTGCTGTTCCAGTTGCCTACGACGCTCTTTAGCTGCCTGTAAAAATAAGAACAAAATATAAATATATTCATTACAAATTAGTTTAAAAATCAATTCTTGTACTCAAAGAATACAGTTTAAATGAATAAATCTCAATACAAAACCACACTCCACAAATCACTGTTTATTGCATTTTTGTACCGAATTTTTTGTGTACTGTGCACATCATTACATTCATTTTTGCATGTTTTTTTTTTTTTGCTAAGTGAAAGATAGATAAAATTTTTGCATAAAAGTGTGAGCATTAAACTTCCAGCATATTTGAGCAAAACTCCAAATACAGAACTGTAAGGCAGTGGTTCCCTAACCTAGTTTTCCCAGTTGCCCACATCATGGCATAGCCAGTGCATGAACCTGAAGTGTCCCAGCCTGCATCTTAACTGTTTTGAGATTGGCAAGGCCATTTATATATGAATCCTCCTTTACGCCTTGGATATCTCAACATTCCAGAACATCCTTTCAATTTGTCAGCTCAAAATAAAGAAAATGTGGCAACAAGAAGCAAAGCCAAGAGGAATCATATTGTGATGCCAAATATAAAGAAAAATTGAGGTAGAAGTACAGTATGCTTGTAGTAGCAACAGTAGTGGATGCCTGATAGTCTAGCCACTGATAGTTTGAGGGAAGTGTTGGTGGCTGCTTATGACTGAGGAGAGAGAACTTGTGGTGTAGCTGTGGTAGCAATTAGTCTGACCCACAACTAATAAGGGAGGAAAGTGTTGACAGTGGGTTGCCTGGCCACAAATGACTAAGGAATCAGTGTTTTGAGATGGCATCCAGCATGGCCCTCAACCCAATGACACCGACACAGTTTATTTTATTATTTATTCTATCGTTCATGATCAACATGCAAGGAACAATACTTTAAAGCTGAAGACATGCCCTAGGTGAAAAAAAGGGTTATGGAAAACTTGATCAGTAGATACAGTTCAATGCTGATAAATGTAAGGTTGTGAACCTAGAAAATAAGTGTTACAATATCAGTCCTTAATCCTGATCTGAAACTCTTCCTTGACAAATGTAATAGAACCCATAGTCACTACACCAGAAATACCTCTCTCTTTGATATCCCTAGTCAAACTAAATCTGTATATATGCTATGCTAAAGGGACCTAGTCTATGGATCTCGCTCCTTAACGAATTAAAAAGCTGTCCAACCTATACCTTAATCAAAAGTAAAACCAAAAAGTATCTAATTTTATCTACATACTGTAATTTCCAACCTAGTGCTTCAAACTCACACTGTATGTAGTGCTACCCACTCCCCCCAATACTAGTGCCTACGACATGCAACTTCCCCATTGTAATCAATGCTATCATCTTATATTATGACTGTTGTGTTGAATGCAAATTTTACTACAATGTACCTAAAATTAATCCTTAAATTATGCTACAATGTACCTGTTGACAATTCTCGAATTTTAAAGGAACGTACCTATTAATATTCTTCAAATTTTCTTACTATGTACCTGTTAATTTATTAACATTCTTCAAATTTTTGTACATATTACCTACTTAAAATTATCTGTTAGATTAAGGACCTGCCCGAAACGCTATGCGTTTTAGTTGTTTTAGAAGAATGTAAAAATATCAATCCTATGTACTCTCATAAACCCAATGTACCTTATATATGGGTCATGATTAGTAAGGATCTTAAGGCAAAAAAATATGCTGTACTGTGTAAATAATCAAAATAAGGCAAATAAGAGAAATTACAAACGTAAACAAAGCAAAATCTTCAGAATCCCAAGAAAGCATGAAACACATCTTGCCTCTGATCCAGCAACTGGTCTCTTCTCAGGGGGAAGGAGAGCCATGTAACGGGCAGCAAGACTCTTCTCAACATTAGGTGGAACCCAGTCAAATTTGAGCTTCTCTGTCTTCCCTGTCTCTTCATTGACAATATCCAAGTGATTTTCTGAAAGTAAAATTCTCATATGAAGAGAGAACAGGTACTTAAATTTAATGGAAGTGCTTAACACACTCAAAAAGTTTCAAGCAGTATATGACAAAGAATGCTGGGAAGATGTGAAGCCATGAGTGTAGCTCTCATAATGTAACTACACTTGGGTAATTACACACACAAGCACATTAAAAAGAACTTTTTTAGTGTCAGTATTTAACAAATGGAATGCACTAGGAAGTGAAATGGTGGAGGCAAACTCCATACATAGTTTCAAAAGTAGATATGATAAGAGCCATTCTGACTTAATGCCCTGGTCTAATGAATTGCATATTAGCCCGATAGCCCCAGGGAGCCGAAGGTGCTCCCCAGAGAAATAAAGGTTTCAAGACATTCATGGGTCCTAAATCATGTGCCAGTATAAATCCCATTTATTCTTAAAACCAATATAAAATACACAATAGGATAAGCCTTATGAGTGGAGAAATTCATTTAACATATTTTCAAAAATTATAATTTTGCTAGTATTAATTATGCCTACACCTTAATCCATTATGTATCTTCATATAGCTTTATATGTATAAAAATGAACTTACAAATGGGAAAACTACAATAAAATACTGAAGCCTTACCATGACAATACTCTAGTTCCTCTTTCTTCGTGCGTGGTGGTCGGTCAAATAGCTTGCCAATTACTATTCGTCCAATGTCTTCATCGTCATCCTCAACTTCATGGTCATCTTTCCCACATCGACAGTTCATGCAGATTTTTCTATAAATCAAGGTAAAGCACATAACCAAAATCATGAGAAAGCAATTACAAGTAATTTTAATTCAGACGAACAATCCTTCTCCATCAACATTTTCATTATTTTAAACTTACAAACAAAAATTTAATTTGACAATCGTTAATTCGTTAGTAATCTAAAATGAGTAAAACAGTATTTAAAGTGTTATGAAGAATTAAAATTCTAAGATAAAAGTAGCTTTAATACAAGTCACTTAACTTGAGAAATCCCTAGCCTGCCTTCCTGAACATGCACACAGTCAGGTAAAATGTGATTAGCTCTGGACCTGGGAATCCTCGGTAGGTGTCAGCACTGCTGCCTTCTGACATAAAACCTGTCATGCTGGTAAACAAGCAGTTATGAAGCTTCACTCGGTAAAGCAATCACTAGAGCATTTAAGGCTCTGCAGATGTGCCTGATGATTGCGGAGTGTGCTTTTCTAGTGCCTCTTAAGTGTTTTCTATGACCCCGAAGGCAATTTTAGAAATATCTCTGCAGCACTTATTTACCTGAATTTACCCAATGGTCACTATCTCTCTAGTGGCCTTGATGAGGACAGGAAGATGGTGTCTTGTGAAAACTCCCCCTTTTTGTGCTGATGATTTTATCCACCTGGATTTTGAATTGCAACAATGTTTCAGTGTTTATGGCCTTGACGGGTAGGAAGTTCCATGTTACCTCTTGAATGAAAAAGTATCTCTTGATTTTAGTCCTACAGTGTGTTCGTTGAGCTTGAAGCTGTTGCTCCTTGTATGTGTTAAAGCTGACTTTTTAAAGAAGTCTAGATCAATATCCTTGAAATTGTTCAGCACAGTATTATAGAAATTTCGATGAGATCAGCCCCGACATGTCTGGTTTGAAGTGTTGTTAGCCCTGTGGCCCTCAACCATTCCTGGTATGCGAGTCAACTTAGTTCTGGGATAAGTTTTTGTCACCTAGTGTTATGCCCAAGAGTCAAGTCAGCTTGACTTCATACATCTTATCTATGACAACAGATTCTTAACTTAGGGAATAACCAAATACGACAGCTCTGAAAATATCTACACATTTTGGTCACTTGAGAAGTTAAAGATAAAAGGCCCATTAATACTAACCTCCAGAAGTGAAGTTCAAATCCTGGACATTTATCTCCACATTTATTACACTTGGCTCCAGCTCCTAAATCATGTGCCAGTCGTGGTTTTCTTTTCCTTCTATTTTCTATGTCGAAAATATATGGGTTTGGCCTCACACTAGTACTGATTTCTTCCGACATTGTGACAGTATCTGTTGTTTCTGTAGAATAAACAAAGTAAATATAAATAGCAACATAGATGACTGTAAACAGCATGGACTAAAATGCCTTTTACCTGATTTATCAGGATAACCAACTTTCTTAAAAACTGAAAATACATATTGACCATTCCTTATTACCCACAGTCTGAGCCAGGCTCAATGCTTACAATCTAGTTTGGTAGTTACCTAATTACCCTTAAACAACTGCAAGCTCTCTTATCAACATAAAGAGACAAATGCAGTTCTTAAAATTCCACAATTTGGATTGATTGTACAGTACATTCAAATATAATTTAAGTCTTTCCAACATGTATGCAGCTAATATCCAGGTGTCGGGCTTCTGGTAGTCCAATAGAATGTTGGTGCCTCATTACTTGATGGATGTCCATTGACCTTGCCCATGCTGTGTTGTACTTGGGCATTTAATAATCATTTAAATTGTAGCTGGTGTTCTTCTGCACCACTCTCTCCACCTGGCCATTCTTCTCCCACAGGTAAACCCAGTCTGAATTGTCAGAGTTACAAATAAACTTCAGAAGATACTAAAGAGACCCCTACCAGAAATCAAACATTGAATTTAATTAAACATCCTTTTCTGGCGGGCCACCAGTAACTCCATCTCCTTCCCGGCGGGGGTTAAGGGGTCGGAGGGTTTGGCACGAGTGGCTCCAGAGTTAGGTAGCAGCCTGGCCAGAACATAAGGTAATCTGGACTGACACCTGTTGGTGGTCACACACATCAAGATTAGAACAGTTACCCCACATCACAGATGGTTTGCCTTGTTTTCATTGGAGTGCTTCAATTTAAGAGGGAGCCTGATGGCCGAGTTGACAGCACTCGGGGTTCGTAGTCCTAGGGGTCCGAGTTCGATCCCCGGCGAAAACAAATGGGCAGAGTTTCTTTCACCTTAATTTTACTGCTGTTACTGATTTTACTGCTGTTACCTAGCAACAAATAGGTACCTGGGAGTTAGACAGCTGATACTGGCTGCTTCCTGGGGATGTGTGTGTGAAAATTAGGATTAAGGACTTGCCCGAAATGCAATGCATGCTAGTGGCTGTACAAGAATGTAAGAACTCTTGTATATATAAATAAAAAATAAATAAAAGTTTCGTTAAGCAGTTGTTTTTCTTGTTGTGCTTATGCTTTCTGGTGAATTTTTGCCCCAGTTTTGGTAGCTAATCTCTGATCCCTTGCTTTCCTTGCCTGATGGAGCGAGCCAGATTCTAGTCCTGGCTCCTTGTAGGTGATGGTTAGGTCTCCGAGGCCTCATGAGTTAAGGATTGAGCGATTACAGAGTTAGGCTCAAAGAGATACTTATGGGTACCTCCTAGAAATGTAACAATTATTCTGCAAACTATAATATTTAGGAATGTTTTAATATTAACTAAATGTTTCAAACAAACATTACTGTAATATGGCCTATTTTGCAGGAACTGAACTCTGCATAAAATGGAATAAAAATAAATACAGTATGTAAACTACCTTTGAAAGAAAGCAGTCACAACAATATTACTAAATGTTTATATTTTACAGCTGCCACGTGAATCCCCTGAATATTAGTGGAACTGCCTTTTCCCTTCACCTTCAATGCCTCTGCACTGGAAGTCTACATCTACACTAGCCCAGTTGAGTCATCAGTCCTGCCACCTCTCCATACCCTCCAGGGCCTGGCATGGCCTGGTATGACTCAGACAAGCCGGGCGCCTCTGCTGACCGGTAGTTTGCCCCCACAAACAAGCAGTTAGCCGCCTTCAACTGGCAGTGGTGCAGCTCAACAACAAGGCGCCGCCAGTCACAACGAGCAGTTTGCTAATTGACAAGATGTCCACCATGCGTTGACACTGGATGAGTCATCACCGTCGGACTATATAAAGGGCACTGCCTCCCTGGAGAGCCAGTCTCTCCCTTAGTGCTCTAGATCACCTTCGTGTCTCACCCATCGTCCGCCTCCAGCCAACATTGTGTGACTGATGCCACGGTGGTATGGTAGCTGTCTTCAGTACACCAGTATATCTTAATGCTTTTATTCATTGCTTATAGTTTATTTTTACATTTAAGGTCATACTAACTTGTTCACCTTTGCATTACATGACAGCCAAGTACTGTCATGTGTCATTTTTGTTCATTACTATTTCAGTAAATTGTTTAATTATTTATTTGATGATTTTCATTTGTTTCCACCTGCGACTTACACACTGCAAGGCCAATAGCAGCATTTTTTTTATTTGTGTGAGGAAGAGCCATACCATTATAGCTGTCATACCATTCAGTATAGCTGCAATATCACAACCCATCACACAGTACAATACTAACTTGGGTTATCTTTTGACACTGCAGATGTGAAATGAACTTGAATACTATACAGTATATTACAGTACAGGGGTATAGATATTTGATAAGGAAGACTTCTTTTACAACAGCCACTAACACTGTCAACTACTGACACTAAAAGTGAGCCACTGTGAATCTTCCTATCATTCCTTATCTGATAGCGCACATCCACTAGCTTAAGGAAAACACTATTCTAATAGGACACTTAATACAGTACGGTATTTATAAAAGCTTCTAAATACAAATGAATTATAGTAAAATTATTTGTAGCTAAATGTTATGGAGAAATTTAATACATAGCTTACTAATCAATACAGTTAAGTTCAATGTTCATTGTAAATGTTATACTGTATATATATAAAACAATAAATAAAAATTTATTGCATCTGAATGAGCGAGGTATCACCAGTTTCTTGGCTTATGCCTATGAAAAGTATATCTCACCAGCATTCAAAATCCCCATGTTCAGTGCCACATATGTCAACTAGTGAGCATTAACTTTTGATTTGTATATGCAATGGTAGCATGGTAGAAACAATGGGCAGAGTTTCTTTCTTCCTATGCCCCTGTTACCTAGCAGTAAAATAGGTACCTGGGTGTTAGTCAGCTGTCACGGGCTGCTTCCTGGGGGTGGAGACCTGGTCGCGGACTAGGCCGCAGGGACACTAAAGCCCTGAAATCATCTCAAGATAACCTCAAGATATGGTGCAGTGTATGAAATGCACTGGTGTATTTTCCAGGTAATTTGATGAGTGTTTATTTTTGCATCCAGAGTATGACAATTTGTTTTCCATGCCAACTCCAAATGTCATACTGTATTACATCTAATATTATTATTCCTAGGTGTCTTACTGGTCTGTCAACCTGAGGTTTGGGGATCTTACTTTATTGCCTGACAAGAATAGAAAAAAAAGAACGTCTTTCGTCTAACGATCAAAATATTATTTTCTTTATGATTCTCGTAGAGCATGCACATGGATATAAAAAATATGGGTCACACATTTTTTTCTCAAAAATATGTATATCTAATATGTTAATATCTACCATATTAACATATAATACAACGTACATGTGGGATATATTGTACTGTATGTAAATACTTGGGTAATTTTTTGACACCTTGTTGTACAGTTAACTTCATTTTGATTCACAATTGGGGATCTCGGGTTCGATTTCCAGACAGAACAGAAATGGTTGGGCACATTTTCATTCATACAATGCCTCTGTTTACCTTGCAATAAATAGGTACCCAGGAGTTTCCTTAGGTAAGGACTTGCCCGAAACGCTGCGCGTACTAGTGGCTTTACAAGATTGTAATTACCATATTATGTATCCTCACAATCCCAATGTACCTTCTTGTATATATATAAATAAAATAAAAATAAAATAAGTTGAGCAACTGTTGGGTTGCATCCTGGGGAGGCTCAGTAGTTTGAGCTTGGGAGAGATCGTTATAGGCTTTATGTATGTATGTATAGTAGGCATCCTTTATGGATACATACATACATGAAGTACATATGTATACATATATACATGAAGTACGTATGTATACATGCATACAGTACTTCATACACAGGCTTCCTGTTCCTGACAAAATAAATTAAAATAAGAGGATTTTTTAACCGGTGTTGCTCAGAGACCACCAACTGCCCAAAATATGGGAACTTTACCCTGTCAATAAGATGCAACAACAAAATTTTTAACTGTAACAGTACAATAATATCCGGCCCTCAAGTCATTTTCACTGGCCCTTTGACTGACTTGAAAGAATCATAAAAGAAAAGAAATATACTTGTTCCAATTACTGTACTGTACTGTATACACAAATTTCATCCCCTTGTAATTTACAAATTATCACTTGACAGGAAAGAACAAATCAAACTATTTCCTATGTTTGACCTAACGACACTGCTCAATTTTTAATGTACCAAATGTGAAGTTTGTGAGCTTAAAGCTCCTAAATTATTTTCATACATATAACAAAATGTTTTGTTCACTTTTCTTTATGTAAGTGCTTAGTAAAATATATGGAAGTAAATAATAAATAAATGTTTATTTAGGTAAGGTACATACATACATAGATTTTACAAAGATTGATCGATTTATAGATAGAGCTAGTACATACAATGCCTAAAGCCACTATTACGCAAAACGTTTCGGGCATTTTTATGCCCGAAAATGCCCTTATTCAATATTTTTTTTTTCTATGTTTAAGTCCATAGTAAAAACTTGGAAATAAATTTGGTACAATACAATACTATATTACAAAAAAAAATTATTTATATGGACTGTGTAAGTGCTCAGCAAATAAAAATAAATTGGAAAACACGTACTGTACATATCTACTGTTAATTTCAGTTTCGTAATCTACCGTGTGTGAAAATAATAGAAGAACCCTAGTGTTGGCGAGCCTCTACAACATTAGAGTACAAGGGCTGCACTCTGGTGTGTGGAATATTGGCCTCTATACACTTACTTTTATTATTAATCACATTGAATACTAATATTTATTATTAAGATAACCAATATTAAATTATTTTCCAAGTATTATTTTTAATATAACATTTACTGTATTTATTCAATTGTATTTATATATCCTGAACTGATGATCTCACTGCTATGGTTACCTTGAGGTTACCTTGAGGTGCTTCCGGGGCTTAGTGTCCCCGCGGCCCGGTCGTCGACCAGGCCTCCTGGTTGCCGGACTGATCAACCAGGCTGTTGGACGCGGCTGCTCGCAGCCTGACGTATGAATCACAGCCTGGTGGATCAGGTATACTTTGGAGGAGGTGCCAGAGGAATTATATAATTCAGAATTATACATGATGATACTTTAAACCAGCCATTTTTTTTCACTTAATAGGGACAGGAAATCAGTAGAACCCCTCCCCCCCCCCCCCCAAGCCAACTACTGACCCATCCCAGGGTACAACCCACAACAGTTGCCTAACTCCCAGGTACCAATATACAGCTAGGTGAACAGAGGCATGAGGGTGAGAGGAAACATGTCCAACTGTTTGTCCTGCCCAGAGATTAGACCCAGCATTCTTTTATCCAGTAATTTAACCCAAGTAATATATTTAAATACGTTCACATTGAGATATTAAATTAGCATTCTTGTTGAAGGCTAATCCGGGTCCAGCCTCTGAGCTAGGCCTACGGCCTACCTGGAACCCTCTGAGTGGAAACCAAAAGTTGTCATAGGGTCTTAGCCGAGTGAAGTGATCTCTAAGCACAGCGGGAAGACATGGGGAAGTAGGGGAAGTAAGGAAAGTGGTGGGTAAGTGAAGGGCAGAGACGAGACTATTTACTGTGTGGGGTGGCCCCACCCACCTGTCAGGATCAGCTGGGTCAACCCTCCTAATAACATGCGTTTTACTCACCACTGCTGCCTTCCTAGCTAATATTGCTGTGTGTGTGTGTGTTCTGTGTTAATATCAATCATCAGTCGACTCGTCTCGGGGAGTTAGAGGTGGAGTATGGCGAGACTCAGAGACTTAAACACACCACAACAACAAGAGGAGTCTGCGCCCTGAGCCTGATGGCGGAGGTGCCACCCGCTGCCCACAAACTTATCTTCAACGGCATTCTTCACCATTAATAACATCTTTACCAAGGAGTAGATTAATTTAGACTTTATCTCAACTTATAATAATATGAAGAGCAAGTCAAGATGGAGCAAGAAAGAGGCTCTGTAATAATTCTTAAATAACTCAATCTGGGACAAGCAAACTTAAGTATAGACGAGTAAATTTATTTGTTAAAGGAGGATCTGTGGTGTTCGAACATCCGTAATGAAAATAAAAGAAAACCTAATTTTGCCGCTATAAAAGTATTTGAAAGTACTTAAAACTTTATTTTACGGGTTATATATCTGCTGTTAACTATATGAAATAAATTCCGAATGCGTGACGTCATTATGCATTGGGGTTAACAGAAGTGTATGATAAATTTTGTAGATAAAAGTTTCGTTATCTAAAGATAATGGTCACATGCTTTTCAGATAACAATATTTTCCCTGTGTATTATCGATGATAGTCAATAGTACCCAATTTACGTTGCCATTGAAATTGAAATTGAAATTGAAATAAGTTTATTGAGGTAAAATACACACAAAGGGATGAGGTAGCTCAAGCTATTCTCATCCCATTCAGTACAACGTGTTAATATATACATAGACACACATCACAAATAAACATATTACCAAACATTCTGAGAGGTAAACATATACATTTCCTCTGGCATTAAGATATCTAGAGCAAAGCACAAGGGGATCCTTGTGTAGAGTGCGAAAATTAACTTTTACAACCCGTCCTCGACTCAAGTCCATTACATCCAGCGGTCGACTCCACAGACGAATTCATAGATTTTAACATGCTGTTCATTCAAAACGGGAATGTTCTCAAATATAAATTAATTATATAATACATTAGCATATTGTGCATGTATAGGCATAAGCTAGGAGTTTAGGTTCTGTTGGCGATTATTTGTATTTGCAGTAAGTGGGTGAAGCATTTATATCGTTGTGGTTCGAACAAAATTCGTCAGTGGAGCATTTGTTCCGGAAGTGTTCGAACGAAATCAGTTGTGAGTCGTGTATAACCCAGCCCGTCCTCCAAACAAAGATCCAAAAGTGATTCCATGCACCCGCCAAACCCCCTGTTTATGAATGAAAAACGGTTTACACAACAACTGCTGACGTTCGAACATATCCGGAACAAGTGCTTCACTGACGAATTTTGTTCGAATCACAACGCTATAAATGCTTCACCCACGTACTACAAATACAAATAATCGCCAACAGAACCTAAACACCTAATCTATGCCTATATATGCACAATATGCTAATATATTATGATATTATTTTATATTTGAGAACATTCCCGTTTTGAATGAACAGCATGTTAAAATTTCTGAATGCGTCTGTGGGGTCGACCGCTGGATGTAATGAACTTGAATCGAGGACGGGTTTGTATAAACCATTTTTCATTCATAAGCAGAGGGTTTGGCGGGTGCACGGACTCATTTTTGGGTCTTTGTTTGGAGGACGGGCTGAACTTTTAATATTCGTGCCCGAAACAGTTACAAAGTTCCAAGTACCACAAACTATTTGGTGCAAAATCAGTGAACCCTCTCATCCCTCTAATGAGAGATCCAACATCACTCTTACTACTTAGAGAAAAACTGAACTTGAAACCATTGATTTCTTTATAAATAACTTACGGCCTCACGAGCACTATGCTTACGCTGATGGGTCTCTTCAAATGTCAACAGGTCGCACTGCAGCAGCCTGTAGAATATACAAAGACAACATATTCAGACAGACCACAAGTGTGAGACTGAATGACTGGCTTAGCTCCACACATGCAGAATTATCTGCACTACAACTGGCCACTAACGCGCTGAAGAACAGTGGAGGAGTAATTTTCTGTGATTCACAAGTCAGTTCTTCAGGCCCTTAAAACCTCAACATGCAAAATAGATACTAGGAGTGTTGTAACATACATTATAAACAACATTAGTTATGCACAGAGCAAGAGTTTCAGAGTCTCATTTGTATAGATACCATCTCACATAGGTGTTGTCCAGCATGATGACACAGACAAGGCAGCTAAAACTGCATGTGATAAGCCTGAAATTGAGTTGGATATGGGCATTCCAATCTCTGCTGTAAAAGCCGTAATATTTCAGGAAATTAGGGAAGACAGAAGAGCAATCACTGACACACAAAGGCCAGAAAGCATGAGTATAAAGAGCTATGGCATGTTTAGTATCGAGAATTATATGTACGGGCAGCATAAAATATCCACTAAACAGTGTGACATTGTAATTGCCAGAATTAGGCTGGGATATCGATATCTAAGGCAGGTGGCTGCAGGTAATGAATCCCCCAATGGTGAACATTCCAATTAAATACTATATGAACAAGAGCTGGGACATACTCTCCAACACTATAATTGCCCTGTTATCAGTGATTTCAGACCAAATGGTATGAGGTACTTTGAGCTCTGTAATTACTTCACACATTCAGGAATATTAGAAGACATTCTTGTGCTGTTCCCAGATTTTGCTAGTGGAAGCTAATAGATCAATCTTACATTTCATGTTCTCTCCTGATTCCATGAATGACTGGCCGTCCTGTGAGGTGGGGATGTTGGATGAGCTTGTAGCTGGTTTTTTATCAACACTGTGTGTGGTCCTTCATACAGAATACGGAAGCAGCACATTGCTGTGTATACCTAAGCTTGTTAAACAAAAGAATTATCGCAATTGAAGTCTTCATTTAAAAGGAATTAACATATTTATGGCTGACAGTGATTTTTTTTTTCCGATAAAGATAACATGTTATGCAGATATTTGCTCCAGCGGTTTATTGTTAGTTTTGTTATAATATTTGGAACAGCCCAATATATCTTTTTATGTATTAAAATCCCAAACATATGAGATTAAATGTTCTCAAAGTATCAGACTAACAGACACGCAATAATAATACAAAGTAATACAATTATTTTATTATTGCTATTGCTATTATTTTAAAACTTTAATATGAAACAGATTTGTATAGAGAAAAAATTATTTTACGAATACTAAATTTGGTAATAAGTACGCAAGTAAATGAGTTTAAAGCTAACTCTTACGACACTATGCCGAGTACGTTCAAGCCTAGCACCATGACGTTAGTTGAGTTCATTTATTATGCACCCCATACCCATCCTGTGGACGGTAGTGGAAAAGGTTGCAGAAGCACATAATGGGCTCAAGGACTGAACCCCAAAATTCGTTTAGTTAAGCAATACTGCTAGAATCCACTCAGTAAAACATCTAAACTATTGGGACCGACTAAAGAGCCTAAAACTGTACTCCCTTGAGCGCAGGCGGGAGAGGTACATAATAATTTACATGTGGAAAATATTAGAGGGGCTGGTCCCAAACCTGCACACAGAAATAACATCACATGAGACCAGAAGACATGGCAGGATGTGCAGAATACCCCCGTTGAAAAACAGAGGTGCAACTGGTACTCTGAGAGAGAACTCTATCAACATCAGAGGTCCGAGACTGTTCAACACGCTTCCACTACACATAAGGGGCATAACTGGCCGACCCCTCACAGTGTTCAAGAGAGAACTGGATAAGCACCTCCAAAGGATACCTGATCAACCAGGCTGTGACTCATACGTCAGGCTGCGAGCAGCCGCGTCCAACAGCCTGGTTGATCAGTCCGGCAACCAGGAGGCCTGGTCGACGACCGAGCCGCGGGGACGCTAAGCCCCGGAAGCACCTCAAGGTAAGGTAAGCAAGTTGTAGTCTTGATAAGCAATAGTTACAAAATTTAATGTGTAGTGTGATGTCAACAAATATATGGTTCGAGATCGAATGCAAGTACATAGTCTCTAAGCTAAGCAACTTACATATGTGGTGAGCTAGTTACATATATTGATGTGTTTATCCTGCCCCATCCAGTGGGCAGAGGTGGAAAGGTTACAATCACCCACATTTACTACCTGCCGTTAGCAAGCTGGGAATATTTGGTTAACATTTCTGGTAGTGGGTCATTGTGACTGAAATATTTACACATTTCTTGAATACTTGTTGGAGAACTCTCTCTAAATTCACGTATCTTTTCGCACTCCATCATATAGTGACGGAGGGTGTGCGAATAATTTTGTTGACACAGTTTACATTTGGTCAGGTCTACATTAGCAGATAATGAGAATTCCCAGATACATGTAACCAAGTCTAAGCCGTGCAGTAGTAACATCTAAAAGTCTGTTGATTTTATTGGATGATCCATAGATGTGTGGCTCCTCTTGCATGATAGTATGATAATAGATGAAATTATTGGTGTCGATTTCACTTTGCCTCAGATCTACAAGATTTTGTTGAAGTTCTCGGTGTACTATTGCTCTCGGACTGCTTATTGACAATCCAAGGTTATACTCAACTTCTCCTTTAAAGGCAAATTCTTTGGCTAACTCTCAGCTCTATTATGCAATCGGAGGCCAACATGAGATGGAGTCCACATGAAATGGTCTCTGTTACCATCATTAATAATTTTGTTGCATTTGTGTCTAGCTTTAGACACAAGAATGTTACAGTTATGTTGCTATGCGTGCCTAACACATATGTTGGGTACGCTATATGTGCCTAGCACATATGGTGGGCACACTACATACCTAGCACCATGTTGGGTATCAAGCCATGTAATGATAACGACAAACAGCATTTATTAATGAAAGACATTGGCTATTTTCCCTTTTTGAATATACCCGAAACGCTATGCATGTTACAGTATTTTAATTAATACGTGGTTGCTCAATAGCGTATTCTAATTTGCCATAGTCTACCATATTTTGTGGTAGTTTTCTATATTTATTATCAAAGAATATGAGTTCTGCGCGCGCAGGGTCTATTGTAAAAAAAAAGTAGAGTAGTGAATTTTTTTATTTATTTTTTATTTTTTTATTTATATATACAAGAGTTCTTGCATTCTTGTACAGCCACTAACACGCATAGCGTTTCGGGCAATTCCTTAATCCTAATTTTCACACACACACACACA